TAAATAGCATGGGAATCTAATTGTATGTATTTTTATTTAGTGTAAACACAGCTGTGATTATATAAATTGAAAAAAAGTTATAACTACACCTGAATGTGCATATGTTATTATTTTGTTATTGTAAAATTGTTTGTGAAGCAGTAAACAACACAAAGTTAAAATTAGATCAAATCTTTTGAACTGTAAACAATTTGATACTTTTAAGCTTAATACTTTACAATGGATTGTTTTTTGCACAGTAATGTATAATGTCGAAAGACTACCACGCAGAGTTATTGTTCCTCGAAATGAAAACAACAGGCACCAGATTTGGCACAATATTAATGGAAGAAGAATAAATGAGCATCGGATGAACATGAATTTATTCCTGTGTATAGATTACCACTTTTAAATGAGATTGCATTACACAGGGTAGGACCAAAGAACGATTTGATTTGGTAAAATTTTGGCGCAAGGACGAACCTTCACAAAAGTGGGCATTTATTAAAAAAAAACCCCAGTGTTTACCCATGGTCAACTATATGTTGCTTTTAGAAAAGTAAAGAGGCCAGATTATGTTAAAATAATACTAGAACCATATTAAGACCAAGTAATCGACCGAAATGGATACTACAAAAAACAAATTGTTTCAGAGAGATTTTGTCGTAGAATTAGCAGTTTACAATTTCGATGATGACATTATCTCTATGTGTTTTTCTAAGATAATTTGTCTATATTTAAAGAAATCTATATAGATTTAATTAATAGTCTTAAAGATTGTTTATTGGAAAATGTTTCATAGTTGTAAATTATGATTAGAAAGTTTATATTATAAACACACCGCATGTCCTTTGGAATTTTTATTTTAAATAGAGCAGACATCAAAATGCATTATGCAGGTATGTAATAACTATTATACATATCATAATTTACAAAAATGTTAAATGATAATTCAAGGTAGGGTAATCCATGAGACTAATAATTTGTACAAAATAATTACCATAATATAGGGGCTATTGCCCCTACAAGCCACTAGTTTTATTATCATCATTCAATTTACTCTTCTGGTTAAATACACATAATTTTGTGTCCCTCATATGAAGTGATATAGTACAAATTGTCTTCAATGGATGTAATCAAGGTATTTTACTTTGGTACCATTCGTGTGTATAGTTATTTAACATTACATGTTACATGTAATTTGAGATACTAATTCTAATAAAGAACAAACTGCAATTTGTTGGATGAAACCACAAAAACTTGCTCATAATAGATATTTTCCTAGTGGAAAGAAAGTTTTGACTTCACTTCAATTCTTAGGAATTGTTAATGTATTACTAAGTTTTTAAGAATCTATTAAAATATATATATAATCATTAACATAACAACCATCCAAGTGCAATTAACTAGCCATCCGCCCAGTTTAAACAACTTGACCAAGTTTAATACTAAGAAGTTTTTAGCAAATAAGTCTTACTTTAAGAAGATCAAAAATGCTCCAAAACCAATCAAATAATCCACCCATGGCTGGAAACTTAACACAATCACAATAACACAAACACTAAAATTTATCAATTAGCTCAAAGAATATGAGGTTAGGATTAGGTCAGCTAGATAAGGCGTAGATAATACTTACCACAAATAAAATGTAGATTATTGTAGCTATGAATAATGCTAATAACCAAGCCAAAGATGGAAGTATCATTGATGAAGGGACCATTGTGATTATACTTTTAAAACAAGTAATTTAGAACAATAAACACAAAAAAACTTTGTTGTTGTTGTGTGAAACTTGACTGTTTTCTATTTACATAACATCAATTTTTCAAATCAAGTAGCCAGCTGGAAAAAAATAACCTTACTATAGTTCAGCCGCTTAGATAGCGACCTCCTCTATTGGCATTGGTTAGCATTAGTGTGCAGGTCGCTATCCAAGCGGCCGAACTATAATACCTTAAGAGCAACTTACAGTTCCTTTCTTAAATTTTTACCAAACAGATTAGCAGGGGAAAATAGTATTTGATATCACTGGAGTGTAATAGCTGTTGATTATGTGATTTAATAATTTCTTCTATTACGATTGCTTTAAGTCAAACTATTGACAAGATCGCAACAACAATAAACTAAAACCGATTAAATTGGTCTAAAGATAATTTTTATACATGTTTACAATCAAAGTTTACCCACAACCAGGGCCGGTTCTAGGAATTTTTCAGAGTTAAGCGAACACCCAAATCAGCGCCACTTAGAATTCCCCCCCCCCAAACCCATGAACATAACTTAACCGTATTTGTAAATTTTTTCCCAATAATTTTGGGAAGAATTTTTTTTTTTAAGTTTAGGTAGAAGAATACTAACTTGCAATAAAAGGCTGTTTATTATTCGCAGAAATGTGACATTTATACACTTTTACTCATCATATAAACTATAGCAAAACCAAGGACACACGAAAAAAAACAGGCCGTAATGTAATGCTCGTCAAGCATGACGTCACGATAGAAGACGGCAATGACGTAATGTTTGCCGTTAGTGATCAGCTGCTTGTTTTAATCTTTCCTTCGAAAATAAATAAATAAATACCTACGTCATTGCCGTCTTCTATCGTGACTTCTTTGGGCTGACTGGACTCGCCACCAGATGATTTCTACAAAAGTCTACTCATTGATTTGGCTTTTTTTTTTCTTCCTCTTCCAAATTCGCCTTACGCTTTCTATGATAAGTGCCAGACGGTTTCTTTTTTTCTGCCATTGTTTTCATAGTTTCGACTCGAATATGTTTTACTCATTAATTCAGTTTATACTTTCTTTTTATTTAATGCGTTAATTATAAATTAAACTTAATGCACTCGTAATAATTCGCTTATCAACAATCATGAATCATCAAAACAATGCCAATACGATACCGACACGGTATAGGCCTACGCACGATTACTAGAAAAATACCGGTATGGATCATAAACATAAACAAATGACGTTTTTGGACCGAAAATAAACATTATTTAAACATTGCTTAAATGGAACTGCCAAAACATATGTTCAATGCTATTAGTATAGGATTCGGGTCAATAGCGTAATTTGTTTATGTTTATGATCCATACTGGTATTTTTCTAGTAATCGTGGGCCTACGTATACAACTAAAAGAGTGCAATACAACGTAATGCTCTGCTCTATGATCAGAGGCAGAAAGGAGTGAAAGAAAGGGGAAGTTTCTTTTTGTGACAAGTGGCGCTGCGCGCTTGCTTATCTCGAGCATGAGTGATTCGTGAAATGAAACCCATAGGTGCCGCGCTGGCGCTGACGCTGCCGACTGCCGAGCGTCAGCTCAGTTCAAATCGAACCTGCAGATGGCATTGAGTCCTTGAGTTGTAGTGCTGTACAAATATACACAATTTTCAAGTGCTGTCGGTACAAACAGAATAAATGCCTTTATTGTGGTGCTTTGAATACTTGAACTCTGAGCAAAAATAAACAAAATTACGTTGTTCACGTAAAAAAAATGTTCCGTTGGCGCCACGGAGCCACTTCTTCGTGGCGCCATATGCGGCCGCGTAGTTCGCGTATGGGTTAAACCGGCCCTGCCCACAACGCATTTATCAACTGACGTTTTGCTGCAGTTTGATAAAAATTTACTCTACGAACCAACCTGAGAAAGCTGTGTGTTAGCTTAATTGTTTTTTATCATGAAATGTTTACAGTAAGAGACAATTATATTGGGTTCAGAACATAGAATATCTCTATTACCTAGAATTTGGCCATATGTAGAATGATATTGATATCTACCAATTTGTATGGATTCGCAAATTTGTTATTCTTTTTTATTTTAGAAAATTTCAGGTAAAAAAGTGAACATAAACAATTATATATACTTTGAACATTGTTAGCGAATTTCCCATATAGGGAATAAGCTATTACCGTAGTACTCACGGTAAGACCTGGACCCGGGACCGATTTTTTTTTCGTTTTGAGGTCCCTAGTGGTTAAAAACACCATCCGTTCAAATTCATATATATATATATATATATTTATATATATATATATATGTGTCCGTTAGCGCGATAACTCGAGCAAAAATGATCCGATTTTGATGAAATTTGGTACAAACGTGTAAACCTACGTTTATTCGAACGAGTTCGCGAACAAGCATGATCGGACCATGGGAACGGGGGTTTATGGGGGCTTTTATGGGGTAAAAATGGGTTTTTCCCATTTTTGACCCAAAAAACATAAAATTTTGCAATTTCTTTCAAAACTATTTTGTAGAGCTTAAAAAAACAAATAATTTAGTATATTGAAGCGTTATAATGCGCCTAATGGTTACGGAGAAAATTCCAAAAAATTGTAAATTTAAAATTCTCATGTTATTCTTATGGAGAATAAGTAAACTGTTGTAGTTTGCTTGTTTATAAACATATTTTGCCCAAATTTGGAAAATGTTTTTATTTCTTACAAACTATTAACATTTTACATAAAAAACACTTTTACCCTCCCTGTTGCAGCAAACCTAAGTATGTTTTAAACTGATTCTATTTAAATAGGGAATAAATGTGATATTTTTAAGGAGACATTTTAGTGTAAATCCATTCAGGGAAATGGAAATTCGCTTAGTCTGCAGGTTTGCTGTGGCGGGGGTATTTTTGGTTTATCTTGATCATACACAAAAATTTCTTATGATATTATATGTCTATGTTTAATGTTTATGTTATATTTTAAACAGCTATATTTATTAGCTGAGAATCAGATGGTCCTTATGTCAAATTTTAATTTTGATTATTTTTGTGTAGGCACTACAATACAATAGAGTATTGTATGTCCCATACAATAAAATCTACATCAAAATTCTTAGTTTTAAATATGATGATTAGTTGGAATATTTCCAATGGATTAATTTAAATGCTCTAATTTTATTTTAACCTTTTAAACACTTTTTGGAATAAGTAACTATGTGGACTCGAAAACTCACAATTCAAAATTTAAACTTGGTAGGTCAGAGAGTGGCCATAAGAGTGGATTTTGATGTTCCAATGAATGAGGGGAAAATTACAAACAACAAAAAAATTATCAGTGGTATAGACTCTGTGGTGTACGCCTTGGCCAAGGGGGCCAAAAGTGTCATGATCCTCTCTCATTTGGGAAGACCTAAAGGAATTAAAAACATGAAATATTCTTTGACACCAGTAGCTGTCGAGTTAAATTCGGTTTTGAAACAGGTTCACAAAGATCCTCATAGCTTAGGAAAATATTCTCAAGTTTTCAAAATCTTTGCAGCAAATCCGGCACCGAACGTTCGATTTCTTTCCGACTGTGTGGGGTCAGAAATAAGAGAAGTTTGTGACAATCCGGAACCTGGATCCATATTTTTGTTTGAAAATCTGAAATTTCACCTGGAGGAGGAAGGGATAGGAATGGACACATCAGGAAACAAAATATATTCAACGATACAAGAAGACAATACTTTTCGAGAGTCGTTGCGAAGTTTGGGAGATGTGTTTGTAAATGATGCTTTCAGCCTATCACATCACGCCTACAGCTCTATGTTAGGGACAGCATTTGACTCAAAAGCAGCAGGCTTATTGTTATCAAAGGAAATCAAACATTTGTCAAAACTCATAAAAAAACCTGACCGACCCTTTTTAGCAATCCTCGGCGGTACAAAGATCATCGAGAAATTCCATTTAATTGATAACCTACAAGACAAAGTGTCAGATATGATAATAGCGGGAGCAATGGCATTTCCGTTCTTAAGAAGACTTCACCGGATGCACACAGGTCACTCAATTTACGATGTCGAGGGGTCTAAAGTAGTGAAAACGCTAATGAAGAAAGCCCGTAAAAACAAAGTCACCATGCACTTCCCAGTAGATTTCTTATCAGGCAGCAAATTAGGGGCGGTGCGATTGGAATCAGTCAAAAGTGGCATTGAAGACGAATGGATGGGGTTGGATATCGGGCCGGAGAGCTGCGTTAATTTTGAAAGGGTGATTTCAAGGTCGAAAACAATTCTTTGGATGGGTCCGCCAGGAGCTTACGAACTGGATCATTTTCAGGCGGGAACACAGTGCATGTTGTTTGACATAGTGAAAGCGACTTTGAGCGGAGCAATGTCTGTGTTGGTGGGGGAGGACACAGCGAACTGTGCGGCTCGGTGGGGACAAACGGAGAATGTGACTCACGTCTCTACAGGCAGCGAGGCTGCGGCCGACATGCTCAAGGGAAAAGTACTTCCAGGGGTGGCAGCCCTGTCTGACTTCTCATACGACATTAAAGTCAACTTGAAACTGAATCTCTAGTTGCTTTAAAGAAGACTAAATGAATTTTGTAGTATTTTCAGTTGCGTATTGTCAATCCTGTAATAAATTATTTTAATCGTCATTAGGCTACTTAGGCCTAAAGCAAAGAATCTACGTGCTGTAAAAACTATATTAATAAAAGCTTAAATAAAGTTGTGCAAACAATTTTCAAGCGATGCAAAGGAAAATATAAATGCCAAATGTATATTATGTTACAGTTTTTATTTCATAAATTAACTTAAAAAGATATAACACATATGATTGATAATTTGTGACAGGCGCATAACACTATTACAATGGATGTATTTTAACACAATATGGATAGCCCCTAGGTCACCATGGGTAATGATTCCGTCAAAAGAAGAATGGAAAATGTTCATTGCTCTCTTCAGGTTTACGCTGAAACAAGTACACATACAGATATTATTTTGTGTTTCAACAATTATTATTAGACCAAAAGATATAAAGATTACAATATGTAACCATAGATAAAACATACTCCAATAGTAGATTTGTCATCCTTATGGAACAGCTGAAGCCAATTTTATTGTTAGTTCTGTACGTCCAACTGTAGAACTTGTGTTTTGTTTACAATTTGTTTCTTGTTATTTCATTCTTCATTATCATATTAAATTATGATCAGATTATTTCATTATCATTTCTATCGATATGATTGCCACAATTGAAATTTACAACAGCTGATTTTTACTCCCTAGAGAGTAAAAATGCTACTTTAGACCCGCAAGGCATGCATTAAAAATGGCTGTTAAACATTCAATATGAACTAATAAATTATGAAATCATTAGTCAGTTACAAGAGCCTAGATTTAATGATTGTTAATATGAATATTTTAATAATATTTTGATTTTTGGTATTTTACACCAAGAAAGGTTTGAGTAAAGAAGAAAACTTAAAGGGAATCATTCGTCCTAACTCAAACCTCCTCTTCAAATTAAAAATGCTCAGAGACGATGCTATATAGACTATACAGTAAAAATTATGGAATTTTATTTTTATTTTGTCCTAGAATCCTAGGCACAATCCCAGGATTGTTTTGCCTAGGGGTTGCAGTGTTATCATTTAAATAAAATCCATTGGTGATTTGGCGGGAATCAAATCCAGGACCTTTTACTTACTTTTACTTACTTACTTTTACTTTTCAAACCCGGGACACCTTAGAGTCCCGGGCTCTAATCACTAGACCAGCTGGCTCCACAAAAAATTATGGAATAGCCTACAGTGTTAAATTTTATTTTAGGATGGAACTTTCCCTTCCTAGTGAACACGCTATCATAAAAGAAATTCTTAAGTGACAAGTCAGTCATTTTTAAATATTGTTAGCCCAAAAGCCAGGGGCAATCCTTATTAGTTTGGTAAACATTCTAGCCATAGGTGATAATATGTGTTTACACCTAAACTTTAATTTGTTTACCTACCATTTTATTTTCTGGATAAAAACCTGGAATTAAGTAGTCAAACATTGTCTACTACAAAACTTTGTATCCTACTTCTTATTATTGTATTGTATCTTATTCTTTTAAACTAGTTGACAGTAGAATTAAATCGTGACTTAGATTTATTAAATGTATTGTAGTATTTATGTACTATGAATGCGTTTATTTTACGTATATTTAATTTCCTTTAAAAAAAATGTGTTTTGCACAAATTGCTGATCTTCGACAAGATCTAACTAGACACACTTATATTTTTAACTTAGTGGATGTGGATATAAGGAATCTATAAACTTTTAAAACAGCCAATTTAAAAATCCAATCCCTGACTGAACTGAAGAAGTTTGTTTAGCTTAACAAATCTGAATCCCTGCCAAAGCTGTGTACTTCTATAAATTAACACCACCCTTACTGAACTTGATAAAAATAATACTATTCAGTACTATCTCCAACAAAGGTGCTATGAAAACAAAACCATACCATACACCATAAAAGTATATACAGGGTGTCCACAAAAGATTACTACAAATACCTAATCCATATTGCTATTTTTAACGTACGATGCCCTACCTGTGTTAGTTGTTTCTGCCACACACCACAATTTAGTTAACACACAATTTTTAGCAATTTTGCTCATCTGAGTAGATATTGTGACCTTAAATTTAAATGGCTGACTTTTAGATAAAATAGACAAGATTGGCAAATAAACCAACTTCCTTCTTTTCCTGACATCGCCTCTTATGATTAGAGTTTACATAGTCTACCTGAAAAAAAACATCTCAGTTGATGAGTTAAGGATTGAAATAAGAAAATCATATCTCTAAAATTAAAACAAAATACAAAAAACCCTTGTTTTAAACATAAATTTATATGGAAATGGCATTATTGGAAATCCTGGAGATAGGCATCCATAATTTTCTCTCATGGTTTATAACTGAGATGTTTATGTCAAGTAGAGTGTAGAAAATCAAAAGAATCAAAAGAGGACCTAGATAAGCTTACCGAGATTATTATAAGGGAAGCAAATAAGATTGGACTTAAAATAAGTGAAGAGAAATCAAAATATCTGAAAGTCGGAAGAACCCAAATTGAAGGAGCTGAACCTTTTAGGGTCAATAACTATAATTTTGAAAGAGTAAACTAATTTAAATAACTCAGAGTCTCAGTTAAGTGGAATAATGAAAGAGAAACAGAAATAGAAAAGAGACTGATTGCAGCAACCAAATGTTTCTGGGGCGTATAAAAAATATTTAGTTCAAAAAAACTATCCAAAAACACAAAATTAAGAATCTATAAAACTTAAATCCAACCAGTCCTTTAGTATGGTTCGGAAACCTGGACATTAGGCCTAACTAAAAATCATGAAAACAAACTAACGGTATCATTTTTGAGAACAAAATTTTGAGGAAGATTTTCGGACCTATAAATGAAGAAGGTATGTGGCGAATAAGAAAAAAACCGAGAGCTCCGAGAACTGTACAAAGAACCGGACATTGTAGCCATAGTGAAGAGTAGACGACTGAGATGGGCAGGCCATGTAGAAAGAAGGGAAGAAGAAAGTATGCTTAAGAAGATCGCCAATGGACAACCACGAGGCACTCACCCGCTAGGAAGACCAAAGTTGAGATGGAGAGACCACGTCCAGAAGGACCTACACAGAGTGGGGGCATCTCTTGACTTGGTGGCAGACCAGCAGTAGTGGAGGCAACTTGTTGGCGATGCCAAAAACCTTCTTAGGTTTGAGTGGCCAAGGATGTAAGGTAAGGTAAGAATGTAGAAGATGTCCCTGATTCACCCAATAAAAAGTAATCACAAAGAGTGATGTCGAAAAAAAAACTAGGAAGCTAGTATGTAACCTTAAACCTCATACATTAAAAATATGCTAATCAAAATTTTATATTTTAGTCCACAATACCTATAAACTTGGAAGCAAAAATATGAGTAAATCTAAACGTTAGCATGTAGCCGATACAACAAACAAAGGTAGAACATCGTGTGTTGAAAAGTAACAATATGGCTAATGTATGAAATTGTACTAATCTTTTGTGGACACCCTGGATTTTAAGTTTCCATGTGATTTTAGGGGTGGATCTATCCATCTACATAACAAACTGGTGTAAAAATAGTCCAGTAACCTTAACCAAATCTATTCTACGAGAAGTAGGGACTTAAAACATCAAACCTTCACACTCAAACACCAACATCCATGCAAACAACAATAGAGGGGGTAACATCAATTTTGTAAACCAATTTAGAATTGTTCAATATTTTAATATGATTCTTTCTTTTACCACACAATGTATGTCTCGTTTGTTGGAAAGAGAAATCTAGTTGAGAAAATTTGTGGAGTTTTGCAAATTAAAAAGTCAATTAATCTTTTTGTTTTAATTTTCAACACTCTATGTGGACTACCACATTGTAAAAGTTTAAATAAAGTAACAATAATTATACATTTTTAAATAAACAAACAGTTAAAGATTTTGAAAAGTTAGTTCAGAACTAATCAGTTTAGGTCCGTTGAATATCATTTCATAATGTGCACATTCATCGATAAAAACATCTGTTTTGATGATGTAATCATGGCCAACAATGCAAGTTTTTCTTCACTTGATCATTGAGCAGAGAAGTTAGTATGGCAAATAGTATTTACAAAAACAGTTGGTATACTTTACAATGGTAAAAGGTAAAACCTACAATCTACAAGAATTCCATTTTGTGGGTGACAACTGTTAAGAGGGAGAGGGGGAAATCAACATTTGTTCAACCTATTAAATTATGAGTAACCCAGTCAACCCTGCAAGAGCTAATGACCTAGAAAGTGGCATTGCAAAGTGAAAACATTGGTTAGTTTTGCGTTATCTGTCTATAACCTAAAAAATCAATTTTGTTTGTTCAAAAAAAATTTCGTTTGTAAACATCAGGTGGACAATTTTGAGACCTGATCACAAATATAGGTTACTACCTCTATTCCAAGCTTTAAATATATTTAAGCTCAGAAGACTGAAGGTTATTAATCTGTATGTTATCAGAAACATCTTTATAGGCTACTGTCACTTTCTGGTATTAGTTCTCGAATGGTAGGAAAGCACACACTAAAGCACACTACACTCTCGGTGAAAACAGGACCCTAAGCACCACTCAGACAGAGAAGGGGTAAATGAGAGTAAACATGCTACAGTAATTAAATTTATTGACAGCAGCAATCTACGTACAGGTAGGTTAGGTGTTCTAGGCTAGGTAATTAAAACTCATAGACATTTATTATGATACAAGGGTCAAAATCATGCGTCCATGCACTTCAAACAACATCTTGTTTAACAGGCGCAGGAGGTTCGGGCTCCACTTTGACAGTTTGTTCTTCCGTAATACCTGCAATGCCGGCGATGGCTTCTGATGCGAAATACTTGACATCCACGTCCGTGTCCACATTCAGTCTTTCTAAAACTGGTTTCACTTGTGTTTGGATGCAGCTGAAAAAAAATTAAACAATGTTTTACTAAATTTGTTGTTTTGATTTGGTTTTCGACAACAAGATTTGGTTTTAAACTGTATCGCTGTACAGGTAAGTCTGCTCTTTCTATCTAAAGATCATCCCCATCAATGTTGTATTGTATTAAAATACAATCAAATCAAACCTATTCTGGCCCAGAGTCTTTGAAGTTGGCCAAACTATAAACACATGCTGTTCTATACAGGGCTGTACTCACTTGGGGTCGAGGACAGGTCCTATCTTCTGCAGAGTCTTGGCCACATTGAACCTAACATTGGGCACAGAGTCGCTGGCCATGCCGATCACTGTTGGCAACATTAACCTCACCGTGATGTCCGGACCACATGCTGGAGCCAGAAGCTGCAACAACAAATAATGTACAAGTTTAAAATTGGTCAACGACCGATTACATATTTTTACCCGTAACAATCAATTAGGTATATACAAGTGAATACAATGTGTAAACACTGACCGATTAGTATAAAATATGGTATTAAATTGATAGAAATGTTACCACAATATTGTATTGGTTTAGTTTTATATGTAATATTAAAGAAAAGCTCTTTCTATTGCACGTTGCTATTGCTCTATCTAGTCTCTTTTAGTGTGAACTTAGCAGAGCAGTGGTAATGACTTATGAAGCATCTGCTGCGGCACCTGTGAACAATATCTGGCTTAGGACCCGGACCTAACTCTTGGTTCACCATAGGATGTCCAGAAATATAGCAGATAACACCAATGTCACCAAATCCAACTGAGCTAACATGTTACAAAACAGCAACAAAGATAGGAGATTTACTTTAAAGATTGTAGGAACATATTCTGAGAGGTACCAGAAAGAAATGTTTTGGCCTGGTTCGGCAGTGGATGGAAACAGCCATCTTGGTGTAGGAATGTTTCTACAATCACTATGCAACTAGCTGGTGCCTCTAGAACACTCATGCCTTTAAAAATGAGTTTTAAATTGAGCTCTGTTAAAATTGAAAATCCTACCAGTTGTGAAGGGTGGGATGTAATTTTTTTAAATTTTACAATGCTATTGAAATGTTTTTGCTACATTTTGAAGATGTACGCCAAGGAAAAAAGAGCGAGGGCTTGTTCAGACAGTAGCATGGTTTTTGATTTGGTCTAGCTCCTCTAAAAATATCTGTTGTGAGTTGTCCAGTCTTTGGATTTCGTGATCTTTGGTTAGGACCTTTGGAAACCACCAGGCACAAAATGGGGTATGGAGAATGAAAGTTAACCAAACACAATTTTAAAATATTCTGATGTTTTGTCAATGTAACACAATGACTGTTATTGATTCTCACCGTCCATTCATCAGTCATAAGGCCGGCCACACACAGAACCGGGCGGGGCGGGGCGCGACGAGACGCCTGACTTAAGCCCTGTCTTGTTGCTATCACACACAGAATGAGGCAGGGCACGTCAAGTAAAAAGTTTAGCCCCCATAAACCTTCAAATTAATATACGATTTTTTATTTCTGAGCCTTGAGCCGATTTAGCCAACTTTTAAATTTGACTTTATACTTGGGAGCAGAATAGAAAACAAAATTCAAAGTCATACCTCCAGAGGAGTGGTTTTTGAAACCCTTAAGATATGAACGTTGGCCCTCTCTTTCCTCAGTTATCAATACCAAGATAAATTATTAGTAATTCAACCACTGTAGTAATATCATCACTGCATAGTCTTGTCAAAGGGTGTAATCTTTGATCGTATAAATTGTTACAGTCTTGTATGTAAATTGTATCAGTTGTAAAATAATCCTGATCAAAATTAGCCCATAAGGGAATAAATCACATGACCGCGCATGCGCAGAAAGTTCTGCCTGGCAGCGACTTGCCTCGGGGCATAATTTTGGAGACCTTCGCATTTTGCCCTGAGGGCGCCCGTGGACGTCTTTTCGACGTGCCCTGCCTCGCCCGGTCCTGTGTGTGGAGCTTCATAAGCGCCCGTGCAATTCCCGTCGCACAAGAAGCCCCGGGGCAAAATGCCCTGTCGCGCCCCGCCTTGCCTGGTTCTGTGTGTGGCCGGCCTAAGAGTAAGCCAATCACTGCAATTCAATTTTATCCCTCATATTAAGACTTAAGACTCCAAGTTGTACAAATAGATTAGTAAATGTAAACTACTCACGTTGATGCTGAAGAGACAGGTCATGCGATGCAGATAGTTGGTATCCCTGGACATGGCCAAAACTTTGGGAATCACAGTGTTCTGCGCCCACTCTGCTCCAAACTTCTCCACCAGCTTCTTTAAATTCTGCGTGGCCGCCTCTCGGATAGCGTACACTAAAAAATTACATACATGATACAAATTGGCTATAACTACAGAAACATAGTGACTTATACAATATAGCTCAGGAAATATTACTAATACTAAACTAGCCTAATGCGATTGTTAGTTTTTTCAATTCCAAACTTTTTTACTTTTTTACCATGCATCAGGTCGGGTCACAAAGATAAGGTTACAGTAAAGGTTGACTGTCAGTAATCCGGCAGATATAGGACTGTGTTACTGCCAGATTAGTTAAAATACCGGATTACTGGAATATCATTAGTAAAAACACAATGCACACAACACGTCTGCAAAGATTGTGCGATCAGAAACCGCTATTGCCACGGTCGCTCATGACAATGATAACGGTTCCGTGACTGCGGGAGACGGTCTACACCAAGATTTTTATCGTGAGGATGCCCATCATCTCACAGACAGATTATAGAGTTGTCGCTGTTTACTTTACCGATCACCATGAGTCGCTGATTTGATAAAACCAATGAGTTTTATTAAGAATTGATAAAACTGATTTGATGAAACCAATGAGTTGATGGGTTCAGGGTGACTAGTTTATTTCCATTATAAAATTCAAGACTAATTCCAAATTTTTCAAGACTAGTTTTTCAACAATTAGTGGGTGTTGATACCAAAATGTATCGATTCTCAATTCTTGATACCGATACAAATTTTTATAGCTTAACCATATTTTCTAAATAATACTACACCAACCCCTGTCTTTGTCATAAAGTAGTATTATGATAATGTGGTGTTTTCAAGTTAAAAAATAATGCAGCAATAAAAAATTCTAACTAGCAAATTTGTTTTTTTTATCATGAAATCTTCCGTGTACCGTACGTTAAGACATCATCATTGACTGCAGCGGTTACAGAAACGTGATCGCCGTCGTCCGCGATCACGGCAAAATCATGAATATTTCCCGCAGCCTTGTAGACATCAATGACATCATTGTCATCTCCCGCGGTCACGGAAACGTCATTGTCATCTCCCACGGTCACGGAAACGTCATCGTCATCTCCCGCGGTCACGGAAACAACACCGTCATCTCCCGCGGTCCCGGAAACGTAATAGTCGTCGTCCGCGATCGCGGCAAAATCGTGAACATTTCCCAAGGCCGTGTAGACATCATCATCGGCTCGTAAACGCAAGACGACGATCACGGAAAAATCATGAAAATTCCCGACTTGGAAATCAAATTCAAGACTAAATCCCGACTTTTCAAGACCATTTTGAAATTCAATACTAATTCCCGACTTTCCCGACTACTAGACACCCTGTGGGTTACATTTTGTGTGTAAAACATTGGCTCTCCATTCTTTTTTTTGAATAGACAAGTGTAAACAAAAAGTTAAATAAACGGTATCAGCATTCTGACACAAACTTTCTCCCATAAGTTTGTCAACAACCTTTATCATGTGTAAGCGATGAGAGTAAGTATAGGGAAATAGGATTTCTACAATTTTGTTCAGAATTTAAAGGACTATAACATGCTAAATATTTATCAAAATCGTTCAGGCCATTTTTGGGAAAATCCAATTTTTCTGTTATTTTATGGGGGTTTATGGGAAAATGACATAATTTACAATTGAGCCGTAATTTTTACAAAAATGGGATTTGTACCATTTTGTTCAGAATATAAAGGACTATCACATGCTAGATTTCTATCAAAATCGTTCGGGCCATTTGTGGGAAAATCCCATTTTTCCGTTATTTTATGGGGTTTTATGGGAAAATCCCCATTTAAAATGAAAATTTCTAAAAAATTAAAAAAAAACTATTAAAACTGTAAGGACTATAACATACTATGTTAAATCAAAACCGGATTTTTTTCTAAAATCCTATTTTTTGTTATTTTATGGGGTTTTTATGGGAAAATAACATATTTGACCATAACTTTTGAACCGTACTTTTTACAGATATGGGGTTTGTACCATTTTATTCAGAATTTAAAGGGCTACAACATACTAAAGTTTTATCAAAATCGTTCGAACCATTTTTGAGAAAATCTGATTTTACCGGATTTTTATGGGTTTTTATGGGAAAATCCCCATTAAAAATCAAAATTTCAAAAGAATGAAAAAAACGCCTGGAGATACCATGGATTGGAACCTACATACCAAATTTCATCGAAATCGGACCACAGGTGTAGTCTCCAGCTCTGTACACATCCAGACACACAGACACACAGACACACACACAGACACACACACACACACACACACACACACACACACAGACATCACTTCGAAAACCACTTTTTTGGGTCCAGGGGGACCCAAAACGAATATATCCACTCAAAACTCAAACTCGAAAATTTTGACGAAAACAATACTTTCTCCATATACTATGGTATAGGGGGAGAAAGTAAAAAATACACTATATTTAAAGTATTTTATAGCTATAGCTAAACCTGTAACCTGTGGTCAGCAATGCATTCAAAGTCAATGCTATTTTCATTTCCTCGGCATTTTAAGTTAGGTTTGCACCATCCACCATTTTTATTATCCATGATCATAATCCACTCATTATCATGGATAGTCAAGAGAGTGATGTACAAAATATCCAGTTAAATAAATTGAAAATTTGTGTGCAAATCAAAATCAACTACACCCCATTTGGAACCAAGACATAACTTGACAATCCATTTCAAAGTTAACCAACTAGCTTTTAACACGTTCACTGCTAATGACGCACTTGTGTGTCATAAGTATATTAGCAGATATATAATACATGATGTATATAATTACATAATATATTTTAATCCACAATTTATAGTATAAAATTTATTTAATTAAAGATATATTGTCACTCAATTAACATGATCATGTTAATGTTTATGTTTTTTAGCCATTTATAAAAGTATTACATATCATTAGCAGTGAATGTGTTAATCTATCCACTGCAATGAACTGTTTTTTTTTTTTTTTTTGTTTTGCACATTTATTGCAGCTTGCCAAAAATGTGATCCATCCAAATTTTTTATTTTGTTTTTTAATTTTTTTTTTTTAAAAGAGGTTGGCGGCCTCTTTTAACCTTGCATTTACCCGTCCATATAGACTACAGATCTGTGGGGGGAACGTATCCAGCAAAGCAAGGGGTGTGCCGGTACAGTACAAAGGTGAACTGTACTGATAAAAGTTTGTGGCAGTGACCAGGATCCGAACCCACGACACTTCTGCCTTGGGCCCAAAGTCCGTGACGCTACCAACTGAGCCACCGACTCACCAAGATAAATAAAATAAACAATGCAAATACTATACCAAATCTCCACTATGTGGCTGTAGAACAAAAGCGTTGCAATCTTACCGTGGTCTATAAGCCAGCCCATGCAGAGCGTGTTGAGTTTTTCATCAAAGAACTCCACGCCTAGCTGGCCAGCCAGCAATGGCATGTACTCTATGATGGCCAGCCTCACACGCCATTTGGAGTCCTCGGCCAGCTCCACGATGGCCGGCAGCAATGACTGTGACAGCTGCAACAGGAAACTCAATAAATTTATTTATTCATCACAGAAATTTATCACAAAATGGCTGAGGTTCACAAACGAATAGGTGGCATGAATACACTTTGTGTATTAGAAATACACTTTCCATAAAATAATATTACTAAAACTATATTTCACAGTTAGGAAGTCCAAATTTTATTTTACATCAAAAAGGCGAGGCTCAATATTTTTTTTGTGAATTCCTCCTCAAAATAAATATATATTCAAAGACCATTTGTGAAATAGACATTTGGGTTGTTGTTAAGTTGTATGTTCTGATAATAGGGCCCATTGAATCTAGAGCTTTTCTGTGGCTTTGATTCTCCAAGTAGATTGGCCCACAACACACTGTAAGACTTAATCTACAAAAAATATCTACCGTATACTAATGTAAAAGTTCTGTCATGTCAATCTTTTCTTGTAATTCAACAATTTTTTCCCGAATTCATTATAAAAATCATCTTAATTATCATTCTGTTTTAAACTACCTAGAATTGAGAGTCCCAAAATTATAACATTCTGCAGTAAGAAAGTTGACTCAGCAAGCCTTCAGCATTAATATATTATCCATATTATTTCTCTTTATAAAAACCAATTCAAATTCATATTTCTTACCTGTTGGATTCCAATGACTTCATTTACACAGTCCAAGTTGGATATAATATTTAATCTCACTTCAGGACACTCGTCTTTAAGTTGTGACAAAAACAGAGGTAGTAGATGTTCAATTGTGCTGCAACAGAAGAGGGAAAATTACTTTTTGATTATGTTAAGTAACAATTTCTTTAAAGCAAAAAATACTGTCTCAATTAACGTTAACAGCAATTATCAAAACAAGATGTAAAGACAGAAAAAATTAATCACTGGAAGTTGTATATATATTCAATATTAGTTTAAAAGACTTAGATCGTTTTATTGAAATAATCACACCATAAGTTTTATTCAAGCCAAGTATAAACAAAGTTGTTTTTGTAACATTTTTGCCACATTTTTTAAGATTATAATTTATGTTCTAGACTGTTTCCACCAGAATCGCGCTAAACATGATAACAATCTCCTGTGATCGACTCTCGGGATCATAGCAACACCTCTGAACATCTCTTATGGTTTCAGCTTGGATGGCTTTACAGTGGACACCCTGATATAACGAACATTTACCGGTACAGATTTACAATCACTCACTTGACTTTGCCCAGGATTGGTGACAGTCCCATGATGACGGAGGCGAGAGCACTCTTGACGTGTTGGTTGGGGTCGGCCACCAACTCCTTGACGTAGGGCAGGATGGAGGACATGATGATGCCCTCCTGTTGATGATGATCTAGGTTCTGGCAGAAATCTCTCACCTGGTAAACATGATACATTTGTTAAACTTCCCTTTGTAATGTTCAACTTTCGTCAAGTTTTTCATTATAAACCCTCTGTTGATCGACCCTAAAACAATTGTCGCTTAAGATAACCAGCCGCCTCAGGGGTCAATTAGAGGTAGGATTATTCACTCATATAAAAAAAGATTGGTTTCAATCAGATTTTTTAATGAATCTAGAGTTTTTATGAATCTAGAATCTTTTAATGATCCATTCCCAACCTTATTGTAGTAGTAAAATAGAATTGTGTCCGTTTAGGTCAAGTTTGGTTATGGACAACTCAAAAACGAAAGACAGAATAAATAATTACTTTTAAATAAGTATTAAAACATGATTTTTACAATTTCCAAAACTAATTATGAGCAGTACTGGTACAGTAAGTACGGTATATTTTGTTAGAAAACATTGCATAAACCCTCGGTTAGAGTTACAGACTCCTTTTTTTTTATTTACACAAAACGTTTTTTATAAAGTACATTTCATACATAAGAACAGGTGTTTCATCATAGTGATGTATTTTATAGTAAAATTAATAGTTAAAATAATTAAAATAAACTCAATCAGAGAATTTTTATCTACACTATAGGGTTCTCCAAAAATTCGTCAAGTGAATAGTAGGCTTTCTCAATTATTTTATCTTTGAATTGAGTAGCATTTAAATTTTTAAGATACAGGGGTAATTCATGGTACAATCTAAGTCCCATATATTGAGGGCTGTTCCTAAAAGTCTTCAATTTGTGATGTGGTAATCTGAAATTATATTTATTCCTTGTATTATAATTATGTGTAAATTTGACTACATCTGACAAATTTTCCTTAGTGTTATGTAACAGAGTCCTCCTGTAACAAGAGTCTTTCCTTGAACAAAACCAATCCCTGCAAACAACACTTTGGAATGTTAAACAAAAAAACAAAACAAATGGAAAACTCTTAAGTGTTTTAAAATAAGTATACTATACAACAAATATTAAAAATAAAATTGTCATTTTACCAAACATCACTTCTAGATGTTTATGTCAGTTCACAGCCACTAGTTGGTTAATATTCTCCTTGATACATCAAGATGTAAATAGTTGCAAATACAAATCACTTGATGTATCCACTGACCTTGTGAGCCGCGGCCGCCCTGACTTCAGCCTCAGTGTCCTTCAGCAGGGATTGGAACGCAGGCACCAAGTCTGTCTTGGTGATCTCCGGTCCAACTGCCTTTTGTAGCTATGGAAGAACAGTTTGTCAATTATGTGGGAACTATTCATGTTAAAAAAACAAAACCCGTAATCACTGAAATCACCCAAAAAATTTAACTTAGTCAAATGTGATATGGAAAGCGAAAAGGGACCTCTTGTTGACGTTTTTTTAGTAAGGCCGATTAGGCCTAATTATGGTCAAAAATATTGAAATTTGGGTTTTTATCGATTGTTATACCTCATTTAACATAAAACAGGACAGCATCAGTTAAAATTGTATTGTAAAATTGTTGTATTGAAGGTGTAAAAGGTTGAAATAAATCATTTTGTTTGTCTCAGCCTCTGCACGGTCTGAGAAAAGGTACCTCTTGTCGCTCAATGTTATTTTGCCATAACAACAATACGTCCCATTTCTAATATTCACTTTATAAACAGATTTTAGTCCAAAAAATGAATTGTCCTGCATTCTAGTGGAAATGTAGAGAACTACAACAAAGTTAAGTTTACAGTAGGGATGGACGGGTCCCGAAATTTCGGGAATTTTTCGGGAAAAAAATATTCCCGATTATCGGGACGGGATTACATTTGACTCGGGAATTTTTCGGGACGGGATTTGGCCCGATCGTCGGCGATTTTTCCGCTTCGCGAGTGCCGATAACGCCGTTATTGCGAGCGATAGGTCCGCGAACGCAGGAGACGAAGTCATACCGACGATCGCGCCGTGACCGCGGAGTCCTACCGACGATCGCGCCGGAACCGCGGAGTCCTACCGACGATCGCGCCGTGACCGCGAGTCATGACGACGATCGCACCGTGACCGCGAGTCATGACGACGATCGCGCCGTGACCGCGAGTCATGACGACGATAGCGCCGTGACCGCGGAGTCATGCTGACGATCGAGCCGTGACCGCGAGTCATGACGACGATCGCGCCGTGACCGCGAGTCATGACGACGATAGCGCCGTGACCGCGGAGTCATGCTGACGATCGAGCCGTGATCGCGAGTCATACCGACGATCGCGCCGTGACCGCAAGTCATACCGACGATCGCGCCGTGACCGCGAGTCATGACGGCGATCGCGCTGTGACCGCGAGTCATACCGACGATCGAGCCGTGATCGCGAGTCATATCGACGATCGCGCCGTGACCGCGAGTCATACCGACGATCGCGCCGTGACCGCGAGTCATACCGACGATCGCGCCGTGACCGCGAGTCATGATGACGATCGCGCTGTGACCGCGAGTCATACCGACGATCGCACCGTGACCGCGAGTCATGACGACGATCGCGCCGTGTTCGCGAGTCATACCGACGATCATGCCGTGACCGCGAGTCATACCGACGATAACCTCGTGCTTGCGGAGTCATACCGACGATCGCGCCGTGACCGCGAGTCATGATGACGATCGCGTTGTGACCGCGAGTCATACCGACGATCGCGCCGTGATCGCGAGTCATGACGACGATCTCGCCGTGACCGTGAGTCATACAGACGATCACCCCGTGACCCGCGAGTCACAAGTTACTATAGGTACCTGTAAATTGTTACCCATTTTTTGGTTTTTATAGATCAGTGCCACAAATGGTAAAAATTGATTTCGTATGTCTTTTTTTGGTAACTGCAATACAGTACTTTCTTTTTATGTACAGAAAAAAATCCCGTCCCGTCCCGTCCCGAAAATCGGGAAGGAAATAAAAATCCCGTCCCGTCCCGTCCCGAACTAAAAATTCAATCCCGTCCATCCCTAGTTTACAGAGAATAAAATATCTCACAAATTTTGCGGTCCCGACATGAAGTACCTTAGAGTACCTTAGAAGTACCTTACCATAGAGCCGACAAGAGTGTTCTAAAATGTGATTTTCGATAAAACAATTATTTAAATGAAAACTACTGTGAGTTAAAACAAAAATTAGTATTGCTTCCAAAGAGGACATTTTGAGCTTTCTTTTGATAACAAAATCGTTTTTATGCATATTTGAAATTTATTTAAATAGTATTTTTCTGAAAATGACCCTTTTAACCAATCATTTCCATCAGGTAGGCTATAAATGAAAATACCCCCGCCGCAGCAAACCTGCAGACTAAGCGAATTTCCATATGTCTAATTGGATTTACACTAAAATGTCTACTTAAAAATTTAATTAAAGAATTATTTTAACAGGTACTTAGGTTTGCTGCATCAGGGAGGGTAAAACTTTTTTTGTAAAATGTTTATAGTTAGTAAGAAATAAAAACATTTTCCAAATTTGATCAAAATATGTTCATAAACAAGCAAACTACAACAGTTTACTTATTCTCCATAAGAATAACATGGGAATTTAAAATTTACATTTTTTTGGAATTTTCTCCGTAACCATTAGGCGCATAGTAACACTTCAATATACTAAATTATTTGTTTTTTTAAGCTCTACAAAATGGTTTGAAAAGATTTTGCAACATTTTATTTTTTTTGGGTCAAAAATGGGAAAAACCTATTTTTACCCCATAAAAGCCCCCGTAAACCCCCGTTCCCATAGTCCGATCATGCTGGTTCGCGAACTCGTTCGAGTTTATCCCACCTTACACCTTCAAACCAAATTTTATCAAAATCGGACAAAAATTACTCAAGTTATCGTGCGGATGGACACATATATATATATATATATATATATATATATATCTCTATATATAGATATATAAAAATTTGAACGAATGGTGTTTTTGGCCTCTGGGGACATCAAAATGAAAAAGTAAATCGGTCCCGGGTCTAGGTCTTACCATGAGACCTACGGTAATAGCTACTTCCCTATAGGGAAATTCGCTAATAATGTAAAAAAGAAGCTCTTCTTTTTTCTACTGTGACAACAACTGCAACGGATGTTTCATTGTTACGTTGGTATTAGACCGACCACACCTAAATTGGTTAGCCCTTAATTTAGGGTGGTTGGTTCGGTATAATACAAAAGTACAACCGCTTTAGCTACACCATATAGTACACATTTAGCTTTGCTACTTAAGTTATCAGAAAAAAGTACCAAGCACACTTGAAGTTGGATATACAGTAAACAACAGTGTTGGGAAGTAGCGCGCTACAAGTAGCGACGCTACAGTAGCGCGCCACTTTTTTTGTAGCGTTAGCTGTAGCGTCGCTACTTTTAAAATTTTGTAGCTTTAGCTGTAGCTAGCTACATTTTTAAAGTAGTTGTAGCGGAATTTTAGCTACTTTTCTCGCTACATTTACATTGTTTGAGATAGTGATTTTTACCATAACCTTAATCTTACGTGAAACAACATCTTTCAAACTGAGACTGAAATTTTCAAAACAATTAGGCCTACTTTCTTGGCTTCATACAGCTGGTTGCAGCCGTGTCATTCCCTATTACAACGTTGTGTGGACATGGAGACCATTAAATGAGTGTTATCCACATTTTTAGCTCTCATTTCCTTAATTTACTACTCTATGATTACTGTCAGATAAAATAAAATCGCTACATGCAGACGACGTTTAAACGTTACCGGTACCAGTGACAATACAAGCTATTGAACGCTTGCAAGTGATTGACAGGGAAATTAGTAATCAATTTAGTTTCTTTGTTATATCGATAGTGTTTTAACTAGGGTTTTAATGAAAACCAACAACCTTAAAATAATGTGAAAGCTGATCTATCAACCTTTGCTTCAGCTGTTGATTGTGGTTCATCATCACAAGCCCTTCCTTGGTTAGATTACAAAGATTTTTCTAAGGTTTACTAAATTAACAAAGAGGAAATTACCTGATGAGATTTAAGATATGCCTAGACTACATGATAATTGTAACAAAAAAATCTCCATATAACATGAAACTTACATTTAAAAAATAGCATAGTTTGCTCCTGCTAACAGCTCTTGTATTGGACTATTCCTAGGCTATGCTAGGGCTTAAAACGAATACCAAGTTCAATTATTAGGAATATATCTGTTTAGTCCTTGCAAGAACAAAGCTACTATAGCCAACTTGTTACGTAGCCAAGTAGGCCTACATGTTATTTTTACTTTACAAATTTCAACATGTTTAAATTAAAAGCCGATTTCAGGATAAGTTGCTGAATACTGTTTTCTGTACCAACTAGGTTGAAGCACTTGCCCTATGCATAATGACAATTAATAAAGGACGATTTCTTGACATTGAAAAGTGTTATTCATAGAGAACAAGTAACTTATCACTATGGTTAAAAGTTATAGCAATGTCGTTTTTAACATTAAAAGTAAAGGAAGGTAATAAACTCCAATTTCAATAGGCTAGGCTCTGTAACACAAAAAAGTATTTTTAAATAATCGTTTTACAGTTTAAGTGGTCTTAATTGTTGATATAAGACATCTATAAATAAATCTATATTAAAGAAATAAAATGAGCTTTTAAAATATAGTTTGGTTGTATGTCCTTTGAACTTATAATGCAATATTTAAAAATAAGTACTAAATATGATGGGACACCCAATTATTTGATGCTGTTGTTGTAATGTTAGGTTTATAATGCCAACAAATTAAATCAAATCTAGGAATAATTTGTTTTCCAAGTAATGTTAGATACAATACTGACATTTCTTGTTTAAATGTTTGTTCAATAAAAATGTTATTGCAATTAATTTTACATTTACCTAATGTGCGTGGAATAAAAAGTAACGTCTTTGGAAAAGTAGCTAAAATTGTAGCTGTAGCTACATTTCATTGTAGCTGTAGTTGTAGCTAGCTACTTTTTCGGAACTGTAGCTGTAGCTGTAGCTAAGCTACTTTTTTGGAAATGTAGCAGTAGTTGTAGCTAGCTACATTTTAAAAGTAGCTTCCCCAACACTGGTAAACAAGAACAAATTTAGACTAACCTCAGTAAATTTGTCAGCCACCATGTAGCGTACCCTCCACGAGGTGTCGCCGGTACACTGGCGTAAAGTTGGCATTACTAGCTGCTCTACGTCTTCTTGTTGGAGCAGGGTGGCGATACTGACACACGCCTCCACAGCCAATAGTCGTACGGAATCCTACAATAAAGAAGATCAAACTGTAGTAAGGTCCTAAAATAACTAGAACAGAGTGTCCACCGGGCCAACTAGAATAAATTCATGAGTAATTCTAGGTAGTTCAGGTCATACTTTTTCATTCTAAGCTTTCCAACGCGTTTTTGCGCCAACTCTCGCAATGCTGTTTTAGCGCTAACATGGTTCGCCATTTTAGTGAAAAAGCATTCTCAGTAAAAGAAGCAAAATTTATGATTAGACCTTCTGTAATATTGCCTTACACAAGTATGCAATTTTTATATATTACTGATTAAATAATCCGAAAAGTAAAAACTAATTCTTAAATCTGCAATTTATAAAAAACTTTGTAAAAATTGGGATATTTCCATTGCAAAATTTATCGAATCTCCGTACAGAGACCTGAAAAATTTATTCTTAATACTGATCATTTTAATTATTACCAAACAAGTCCCAAACTCGAAGTTATATTGTGATCATAGTAAGGAGACACCATCATCGTTTTCTGCGATAAATGCAAAATCCTTAATATCTCCCTCAGCAACGGAAACCTCACCACTGTCTTCTGTGGTCGTGACAAAATCCTGATATTGTTCAGCGGTAACGGAGGAAAGATTATAATTGTCTCCCAAGATCACAGAAAAGTTATCATCTTCCTCGATCGTAGCTTAAGTCTAATAATTTCGCACGGTTATCATCATCAAGCAATAGTTTTTGGACATCATCATTGTTTCCCGTGGTCACAGAAACGTCATTGTTCGCATGCGCGATCACGGAAAAATCACTAAAATATCCCGCGGCCGTTTGGACATCATCATCATCATATCCCGCGGTCATGCTATTTAACAAGGAACTCCTCAAAAGTTACACGCTGTACCAAAAGCATAGTGGTTCAGATAATTAACAGAGTTTAGCTGAAAATTGCTAAAGTGTTCATGCAGGCACTCATAATGGTTAACAAATCTATTTCAACCTAGCGTGGTGTTGCTAGAAGGAAAGTTTGATACATATTGAAGTATGGTATTCGATGTGTTATCATTAATTGCATAATTGTAATAATAATAATAATAATAATATATCTTTATTGTCGTTTGGTAATATAAACATTACAATAGACAAGGTCAACATGTTTTGTTACATATGTTTTAAGCGTTGAAAAATCTACATTCTGCAAAAACTCCTCAACTGAATAAAAAGCACGACTTGTAAGCCAATCTGATAATTTTGACCTATACAAATGAATATTTTCCTGATTTCTAAAATATATTGGAAGTTTATTAAATAGTTTTATTTGCAAATATTTATAACTTTTGATAAATTTTGATAGCCTGGCTTGAGGAATATATAAATCTTTTGATTGTCTGGTGATATACCCATGGATTGAGTTGCAAGGAACAAATTTATTCAGATTCTCTTTAACGGAAACTAAATTGTAAAAAATGAAAATATTAGAGAGTGTCATGATTTTATTTTCAGCAAAAAATGCTTTTAAAAAATGTATTTAAGTGAATAGGACAAATGTATCACATGAATACAATTGTTAGGGTTATAATTTCAAATATGTATTGTTACATAGTAGTGATGGTCAAAACCAGAAATTTTGAATCTCAAAACCAAAACCGAAACTTGAAAAAATCGAATCCCGAATCTCAAAACCTAAACGTGAAACCTTTTTACTTAGCTGGTTACAAAGGTTAAGGACTTAAGGTTACAGAAAAAATACAGGTAGGCTAATAATAAAATTTTTAATGAAATTAATACTGTAAGAGGTTGACTCCTGAGACTGATATAATAACATAAATATGTGACTGATAAACCCATACCAACATAATTCTTTCTGAAATTTCAGAATACAATTTACTGTGTTTGCTCTATTGCTATCAGATAGTGAGGGAAACAGTGTTAAAAATAATAATAATAATAATGCAAAGAGTGCCAATAGATTCAAGAATAAAACTGCCAAAATCTTCAATTTCGAAACGTTTGAATCTCAAAACTCGGTGATCGAATCTCGAAACAGAAACTTTTCCAAAGTTTTGATGGTTTTGAGATTTGAGATTCGGTTTAGACACATCACTATTACATAGTCTCAAATTTATGTAAGCAATCAGAGCAGAACCACACAGCTTTTACCTGTGACGGTAGGTTGCACGAGTGCTCATTGTAACACTCCAAAGTTCTGGTTTTAGGCTCTTTTATTCTAAACGTTTACAAGTGGAAAATACATTAAAGTTGTATTTCCTACCTGTTCATCCTGAGCCAAGTTGACAAACATGGGGATGAGGTCAGATTTGAGGTATTCTACCTCAACGACCTTAGCAAACTCGCCCAATTTGCTGGCAGCAGCTCGTCGTACCATAGGGGTATCGTCTTGACACAGGTTGCGGAAATGGTTACGAAGATCCGCTGAGAAAAGGTTATTTAATGAATAAGATGACTTAATTACAAAGGATATTTATTGGTGATAAGGTGTATGCAAAAAATTTTTTTGATAACAGAAAAATCTGTAAAGAAAACAAATGTTGTGAAACATCTTTTGGAACCTACCCGCTACCTGTGTTTTGTCATTCTGACGGTGTGCTGACACACCTTTAAAATTTGTAGTAGGCCTATCACAATTTAAAAACCCCATAAAACTAAAAGAACTTAACTTAGCCTAGGGTATTATTGTTAGCCTACACAGTTTACTTCAACATAAAATAAAAAATCAGTAAGTTATTATTTCTTTGATGGGATCGGGATGGAATAAAATCCACTACCAGTAAGTTTTGCCCAATCAGATTATTTCAGTTAGCAAACTAAGTTTAGGGGACTTCCAAAAAAGGTTAATAAATTCAACAAATTTAATGAGGGATTATATTTTTATTGATTTTAAAAATGTAAAAAGTGAAAAGTAATGACACCAAAATACCGTAGTTTTAAAACCCTCTATAACTAGTGATAGAAATAAAAAGTCAGATTCCCATGTTAAACTTGATTGGTCTTAACTGCAGCAATTTTAAGAATGAAAATGAACGCAGTTGAATTAATCAGTACCGGTAGTCTTTCCAATTTTTTTTTTTTTCAATTAGGCTAATTGTGATTTAGTTTTCAAAATCTTTTAAGATCTAAGTTGCGATATGAGACCCACCTCTGACAGCAGGACTGACGCGAGAGTAACAGACGGAGAACAGTCCGCACGCGGAGGTGCGAGAAGTGAACCAATCACCGAGAGCCAGACGCTGTACGAGTGGCACAAACTGCGTCTCAAGGTCATGAGGACTGTGCTGTGAGCTGATCAGTCGTAGAGATTCCACGGCTTTGTCTCTCACCACAGTCTCCTCCACCGTGGCCAGCGACTCCAGCGGTGGCTGAGCAACAACTAATTTTAGTAGCTCACATTTTTTATTACATCCCGGGTGTCACAATGAGGGAATTCAACTTTTTTTATTACTAGGGCCTAGCCCATATGCATCAATGATTTTGAAACACAATTTCCAATGTAGGTTTTAACAGTAGGCTATTATATATTTTTAAAGCCAAAATTGTGGCATAGGCCTATACTTCTTTCAGCGACCTCACTTTCTTATTCTTATTTCTTATTCTTACAACCTTCAAATATAAGTTAAGACAAAAATGTGTTTTTTACGCTACCCAACATGTAGGCCTATACCAAAATGCACAAAATGTAACTTAGAAGAGCTTAGCAAGTAGTAAGTACACCCTTAGGAACTTTCAACATCCTCAGAGAATGTTGTCGTTTATTGCCGAATAAAGTATTTCTACAATATTTTCTACTTAAAAGTTATAAATTAAAAACAACGTTCAATCTAGACAAATATTTCCAGTAAACAAAGCAGACCAATCGAGAACACTAGTAAATATTCTTTTCCACTTCCAATGATTAAAGATATAACTTACTCAACCTGTACTAGGCTATGCAAAAACTTGTTAGAAACTAGGGATGGACGAGATTGGATTTTTAGTTCGAGACGAGACGAGACGAGATTTTTTATTTCTCATAAAATTTCGAGACGAGATCGAGACGAGATTTCTCTTCTCATACACAACGGGAAATGCACGTTCGAAATTTTTACCTGATTTTGTAACATTGTTAGATGACTGTTTAAATACTAAAATAATGATAATAGGCAAGAATATTTACAATCTTTCATTAAATAACATCAGCATAACATTTTTTTATTAATCACGCCTAACTTATTAAAAATGCCTACGATTAGGAAACATGGTGATATCAGTTAGGATAGAGTTCAACTTATCCTAAAATAAAATAAATCATAAAATAAAAGCAATATTAATTTTTATAAAATAGTTACTTGTTTTGACTTTTTTTATAGTAATAATTCATTCCTCACACTGCTTACACTTAACAAAACTTCTCAAATGTTATTAAAGTAATATTATTAAAATAATGAAAGTAATATTTACATTAAAAGAATTAAAGTAATATTTACATAAAAAGAATTAATTAAATAAGAACGCCTTCGAAAAGGAAACGCAACTACAACATGCTCCTGTATTGCGGGTATTGCATTAACTTACCAGCAGATACTGGACATACTCCGGTCCGCCAACAAGAGGAGTGAAGGTTCCAAGTTGTTCGGCCAACGCAAGCAGAACCTCGTCCTCATCGTAGATGGTCTCAGTGAGGAACGGGATCAATTCACTGCGAGTACGTTCCACACCGAGCGCCAACGCGATAGTGGACAGCTTCTTGATTGAGTTCAACCGAAGCTGAAAAATGTCAAGGACAAGAGTTAATTGTTGGTAGTCTAAGTAGGCATTATTAACCATGAAAAATAATGCTAATCATAAATTGTGTGAATAAGAACTAGCATAAAGCTAAGGTGATCCTACCAATTACCGAACGGTTTTAAGATTAGGTTAGGCAAATTTTATGATTTACGGTAGCTTATTTTATTCTGCCATGTAAAAACTCACGTTTTAGGGAAGGAAAGATTTTACTGTTTTCTTGACCTATTTTCAGAGGATTATAGCCTCGGTAAATGTGAAGTAAAAGTTATTTTCCCAACCCATTCCAAAAATTGCAAATCTTCCTATATACCACCGAACAGCAACTTCCCAATAGTGGTACCTAATTATTGCCACCTAATTAGGGTTGCCATATGATAATTTGTAAAAAAAAGAGGAGATTTTAGCTGGTGGCCCCCACTAGTGAGTAAAAGTTTGTTTACGGGCTGGGCTTTGATAGTGATTGCGGATACCTACCTTCAGAATTCGGACTGGCCGGCAGACGCGAATTAAAGGACTGGGAGTAATGAAACAGACAATAAGGACGTTGCTGGCCAAAGTGAAACTAAGAAATAAAAAAAGTATGTACTAGGCCTAGGGAGTAGGTACAAGAGTTGCATTTTTCAGTCATTGCATAACAATCAATAATTGGTTATTGTTGTTAATACTATATTATTGTTATTTGTTTTTGTTGCCTAGATGTCTAAGTGTCAAATGTAGGCCTATGGTTGTTATTTAATTAGCCATCGTGAACTGTCCTACATTGCATTAATATTATATTAATATAGATAAGTTTGTAGGTAATCAAATAGCACCACATCAAACAAAATGGAATGTCCGTTGAAATAATATAAAATAGGCTAAAACAAAATTTGCGAACACAAATTTTTTATTTTATTTCAAAAGTTCCGTTAGCCTACACAATGTATTTTAATAGAGTAAAAAAAGAGATTTCTCACTTTTTGCAGAAATCCCCCGGAGCTAAATATTTAAGGTCAAAATCCGGTAATCTCCAGGGAAATCCGGGGATATGGAAACCCTACACCTAATATTAGTTATTGAAACTGCGTGTGATTTGCTAGGCTCCTACTTTTTAATTTTAATTTGTTATTATTTTGTCAAACTAACTTAACCGTCCGAATTTATGTGTCGAAAAATCGACACATGTTTTGTGTCAATTTTTCGACTCACAAACACTGTTTACGGCGAAGGCTCTATGACTGACAAAATCGGATTGAACTGGATCGAGTTAAGTATCGTTTTATTTGGCAGATTCTAAGCTTTCTCCCAAGGTCTGTCTCTAAGCGCTTTTTTTTCTCGAGCCGATCATAATTGTAGCAGACAGCTGACGTGCGTATTTGTAAACAGCTTGGTTAACCTCTCACCGATGACTGATGTGTTTTATTACGTTTATCATTGTTTTAGTGTTAAAAATCAAAAGTAGTGATATACGTGGTGCATTATAAGAAGATTTAAGTGATTTTGAAGGGCTGGTTGATGATCCTGAAGAAGTAGGTAGTGATATTGAAGTAAATTATCAGCCAGATTCCTAGCTATGGTTAAGCTATGCATTCTTAGCTAAACGCTATGTACTGAAATCCAGTTGTTTGCCCATAACTTATTTATTTGCAAATCTACTTCCTTATATTATTATATATTTGTAATCCTCATAAAATTTAGAACAAAGTGGCTATTTTTAAATATTTATAGGCCTATAATTTACACAATTTCATTGAGCGCGAACTTTTTTTTTTGAAAATTTTCCAAAATATATTTTTTTTACCTAAAAATATTTTTTGAAACAAATACGTTCCTTATGTTTTATGTATAGTATTGAAACCCATGATTTTCCAAACAAAATGGTATATAGAACAGTATAACATTGTTTTTATGCTTCTCAGATCCGTTTTGGTAAAACCTTGCAAATGCGCAAAAAATAGGCAAACATTAAGGCCAAAACTAGGGACACTCGGAGGGTTAAGATTTTTCAACCTCTAAAACAAAAGTTTTAATTTAGGCAAAAACGGAAATTGTTTAGATGGGGGTGACCAAGCGTTCTATAGTAAGTTACATATCATTGGAAACTAGATTTTTACCTGAAAATAATGGTGCAAAAATTTTTCTGCTGCCACAAAAACTGAATTTACTAGGCTACGATTTTTTAAAGTTTATTACCGTAATGCATCTTGTCGGCTGGTCTCTGTCACCATAAATTTACTGTGAATTGACTGACCAACACAAACATGAACGATTGAAATTGAAAGGATCGTCTAGGGAAGAAGAAGAAACCTAATATGACAAAGAGTAAGTTTATACAAAGAGGACAAGGAGGTAGAGGCATTTATAAATTCAACTGAGCGTTGATTATGAACTACTTCAGTTCTTATTTAGACATGGGAGGTGGGTAGGTTGGGTGTTATGCGGACTTGTGACAGTATTAAGTGTTTTGAAGTTAGGTTAGATTAGGAAGGTAAAGTTTAGGTTATAATGAATTGAGGTGTTGATTTATATTATCTCCAGACTGTTTATGCACTTTGTTAAAAGTACTACTAACAGAATAAATAATAATTTCAAAAATGCGCAGCATTTTTTAAATTATTATTTATTGTGTTAAAAAATGTGAATTGTGCTATTAACTTCGATTATACAGTATAAACATTGCAGTGCAGATTCAATGTTCCTAATATAAAACATTAAAATAAACTTCAAAAAATCGTAGTAAATTCAGTTTTTGTGGCAGCATAAAAATTTTTGCACCATTATTTTCAGGTAAAAATCTAGTTTCTAATGATATATAACTTACTATAGAACGCTTGGTCACCCTCATCTAAATAATTACCCTAACTTACTGCCAATTAACTTAACTTAATAAGTTAATTGCTTCAACGTGAACCAGAACGCATGTTTTTGCTGATTGGCGCTAAGACAACCATTGTTTAGCCGCCAACCTGACAGTCACAACAATGCAAAACTATTTTCACTCCTGCCGTTTCTTAACATAAGATGTAGGCCTAGGACCTAAATCACATGATACCCTTTTGTTATTTAAAATTCACAGAGGATACATGTCCAGTAACCAGACGTGGTTTAGGCGTATGGTAGTGACGTCACCGGGTTGTGGGGTCCCGGAACACCATTACCACAATGATACGATGTTCGGCCAGCGTTGTTCGTGGTGTAGTGGATAAGAGTGCTCGGCTGATATCCAAGAGGTCCCTGGTTCGAAACCCACCGGTTTCTTTAACTTTTTGTCACAGATTTTGCTTTGAGTGTAATTTCTTCTTAACTGTACATCTTTTGTTAGAATTTTTGGCATTTATAATTTTATGTTATGAAGGGAATTGAACTTTCATTTGATTTTTTTTCATTATCAGCAAGTTTGGTTGGTTAGGTTAGGTTATGACAGTGTAACTGCCAGACGCCTAATCCACGTCCTGTTACCGGACGCGTATCCTCTGCGTTTAAAATTGGCTTAGGGCCTATGACAAACGACATGGGCTTAAAAATAGCCTAACTTGAAATGTTATTAGGCCTATTTATGAGTAGGCCTACCTACTTTTATTCGTGTAGGCCTATTTCTTAGATTTATTTTTATTGTTCTATCCATTCTAGCCTATGCTGAGGGCAAAGTTTAATCAGCTAAATCGGCAATCCCTAGGCTCCCTAATGAATGTATTGAGAAAATTGAAAAAAACTAAGTTACGTCGTGGAAAGAAAACACCGGAGTTTGATTGGGATGGATTACTTTATTTGAAGAGAAACTAATTCGTCTAGTCTAATTTAATGTTGATACCTGGACATCTTCATTCTTCAACTCGTCAATTAATACAGCTATTGGGTAGAGGGAATCGTCTGTAGATGGGTCACTTGCTGCCATTTTGAATTGGGCGACACACTTATAAAATGTTGAGTACGAACGAAACACACGAAGTACACAAAACACAAAAACTATCAACACTACTTTGATTTTATAGAGTGGAAACTAACAGCATATCACTAATTCATTTAGAAAAATATCACCAATAACATATAACTTCCAATGGATAAGATGAGCAACTGCAATTATGTACTTTGGCGTTTCGCATTGGCATTTGGTAAATGTGAGGGGAGGGGAGTTTGTAAGAAAACAAGAAGTATGAGTTTCAGTTGAGATTGGTCAAAGAGGAAAGGAGAAAAGGGGAGGCAGTATTAGAGATTGTATAATCAATTGTAGGATTAATTTAGTTTTAAGTCGTACTATAGCAAGTAAAGTGGCGTGTCTAATTTTTGACAGGCTAGACAAAGTTCAAATGGGTTACTGGTATTTAACTTCTTATTTATTTCCCTTGAAACTTACATTCTTTTTTTTAGATTGGGAACAACACACCGTTACTATTTTATGCTTCTACTGATTAAAGTCAATTGCCGAACAATGTGCATTATAGATTAGAGGTAAGCCATTTGTAACGGGTCAAATTTTAACGTGGAACAATATTTCGATCACGGTCATCCCAAATACGTTGATTTATTTCACGACAAAGCCATGACAAACGCTGGACAGTGGACATAGCTGACGTCATATGAAGGGGATGGCCGTAGTTTTCAACCCCGACGCCATGGGTGGTAGGAGAGAACCGCACAAAAAGTGCCCCCGTCGGGCAGATTTTCACATCCCTGTTATAAGGTCGTGACGTTATAATTGATTCGGGAAGTCGACTGCGCGTTTTGCAACATATTATAGTCACTTCGACATATGTTGTCGGTTTTGTAACATAAGTCACTTCGATATATGATGTCTATCGATATTTGGCCATTCTAGCCACGGTCATATAAAGAAGTTTATAATTTACTTTTTATCCCTTCAATATTATTCACATAGTTTCTCAAAGGAAGATAGTTTCAATTCGTGTTATAAACACCATGTTATATCGACCGATTAAAAGGTTTAAGTTACCTGTACCCGTCAAGTAATCCTGGTTTGTAGTTAGTTGACTACAGCTGTTTCGTGTTGTTGAGCGGAGCGAGCGGAGCGAGCGAAGCTCTTATACGTCGACTCTTAAGCGGCCCACACACTAGGGCGCTTGTGCGCGCACATGTGACGCGCGAACAGCTCGACGCGCATGCGCCTCAATGTGTGGGTAAATGTGACCATGCTCGCCCGTGCTCGCGACGCGCATGCGAGGTGCCTGGTGCCTGCCGCCGGACCTTCGAGCACCGTCACAAGTGCGTGAGCTTGTGACGATGCTCGCCAATCTGTGGGAAACCGAGGCACATGTTTGCGAACTAGCAGCACTGTCGCTGTGTATTTCTTCGGGAACTACTAGGTGTACGCCTCCGTGGAGTGTGTTTGATACTCTTTGCCATAACTACTGCCCAACGAAAGATTTGGTCTGACTTTATTAAGCTTTATAGACCACAAACGTGTTCTTGGGACGTGGAAAGTGCAAACTTTTTAAACAAATAAATGAGAAAAGAAATTATGGAGCTATTGATAACGAAATGCAAGGGGGTGTTTCCTGACAGTGAAGATAAGTTTGTGAAGACTGAAATTAACTCTTTGAGATATTAATATCGATGTGAACCAAATATACTAATGAAATCTAAGTCTATAACCTTCATACTCTAAATACGACCTTTATACCCTTATATTAAATAATGCAACCCTCATATTCTTTAATAACTTATTTCCCGAAAACCCAAAACCATAATACATACAACTAATATCTACCCAATTAATTAGTAGTGTATAATCAAATCTGTTTTTTTAAGGCAAATTTTATTCTTTAGTGACTTAGCTTGCAACTCTAAAACAATGTCCATGTTAAAAAAATGCAAAATGAAAAAAATAGTAAAAATTTACATGGTGACGTTACAAAGGAGTTTATTCGAATGATTTCAATATAACTGTTGAATTTGCTGTTATAGCCCACTATTTGCATGGTCAAAGACGGTGGCGCGCGCGCATGTGTCTTTAGTGTGTGGTTACCAATTGAATCGCACATGTGCCTAGAGCCGCTCACAGTCACCTCACCACGAGCCACGCAAGGCACATGCGCGCTAGTGTGTGGGCCGCTTTATGCATTTCGTAATACGCAAACTCCCCCTAGCCGGCTGAATCAATCGTTTTCAAATTTTGCATGGTGATAAAGACCATATCGGTGAGTGCCAACATCTATATGGCGTTAAAAAAGTCTCTCAGGAATCCGCCCCACTGGGTCTCAAAGTTTCAATGTAATCCTTATGGAAGCAGTATTTGACACATAAACAAAGACATATGATCAGCTGTTGACTTTTGAATGCAGTAGATAAAGAAATAGCTGATAGCATTATTCCACAGATATTAGAACAGAAACGTTAGGGATCATAAATATAATCAAATGACCACACCAGCTTGAGGTCCGTGCGTGACGTAGGAAGTGGTGAAGGAAGTAGTAAAGGCGAGATGTTCGGAGTGTGGGATCTGTTTATGACCAATAGATTAAGGTATTTGCAATCCAATAATGTTAAGGGAAGGAGGGAAACAGGTCCGTGATGTAGGAAGTGGTGCAATACTAAAATGCTATGGGAAGAGACTGTAGACTGTACGTTAAAATGATTACGAAGCACGAATCGATACATATTTTCGATACATGCAATCGTTTACAATCGAAATTTACATTTGAGTTGACAACAGCTGATTTTTACTCCATAGAAGCTAAAAACGATTTTTACTCCCTAAAGAGTAAGAATGCTACTTTAGACCAGCAACGCATGCATTAAAAACGAATGTTGTTACTGCAGTATGACAAAAACAATATAATATGAACCCTTAATGACTCCGCTCAATTTTGTGGATGCCTCTGCAAACGCCACCTAGTTTTAAACACATCTTCAGATCAAATGTTGCTTTGGTTTATTCCATGAAATGGTCGTGATAAGGTTTAAAAGGAAGCTGACAAAAATAGCACATACACGTACACGAAACATTAAACATTAATTGGCAAGAACACAAATACGAAAAACGCGTAGTAAACATCGGACACGTACGGCGCCTGTGTCAATTTTGATGCTGACGATACTAGGACAGTTGATATTTCTGGATTTTTTTTAATAATTTAAAACCTCGGATGAATTAAGGCTTGGACAGTTGATTTAACCAAAGATTATTATTATTTACACCAACCTTCAGACAAATGGAAACTCAGACAACTGATATTTTGATATAATTTAATAAACTCAGACATATTAAAACTCGGGGACGGTCGATTTATCTAAATATTATTATTAGTTACTAGCTGGCCCGACAGACGTCGTCCTGTCCTAATGTGGTTTTATGTCAAATGCTCGTTCATTTTCAAGATGAGCTCGTTTGCATGGCTCAATCACGTCTTGGTTGAAGTTTGTTCGCTGTGCTCACTCATCTTTAGGTTGGAGCTCGTTCGCTGCGCTCACTTGCCTTCAGGTTAGCTCGTTCGCTACGCTAACTCGCCTCCAGGTTGAAGTTCGTTCGCTACGCTCACTCACCTTTTGGTTACAAATTAGCTGTTGTCATAAAAAATAATAATAGTGCTTCACCCTGTTGGTAAACCTATTAACATTTTTATAATGCTATTGAACATCACAGGATCAAATTCTGTAGTTAAACCTGCTGTTAAGATTCTTTAATTCAATTTAAATATGAGTACTCATAAGGTTAACATGGGAAACTCCAGAGCCACTGGGGCGGAGCCCTTTTGACGGATCTGCACTAAACTTCACACAAACCATCCTTGAATTAATGCTTAATAATACCTGAAAGTTTCATTATAATCTGTCGAGCGGTTTCGGAGTCCATAAAGGACAAACATACATTGGATTTTATATATATAGATTTATCAAACCTCGGACAACTGATATTTTGATATAATTTAATAAACTCGGACATAATAAAACTCGGACGGTTGATTTATCTAAATATTATTAGTTATTTATCAAACCTCGGACGACTGATTTGTTATCAGTGATGTGTCTCATTAGGCACATACCCTATTTTATTTCTATTAAATGTTTAATCTACACAAACAAGGACAAAAAAAACTAGGAATAGAAAAATATTTATTTAATAATTATTATATTTACATAGCTTTTATGCTAGTATATTCACTTAATCACAGGTTTTATATTAACTGGAATCTATAAATGAAAAAAAACCTATATTATCAGTGCACCATTAAAACAATATCCTAATTTACTTACATTATTGGTAAGAGATATACAAAAGTCAAATTTAAGAATACATTTAAACCGAGGGATTTTTAAATGTAAATGTACATAATAATGTGTTTAAATTAGTACAATTATTCACACAACATGAGTTTGTGTCAAAAGTTTCATAAGTTACAACGTTAGAAATTTAATCCAATAAAAAAACTTAATTAAAAATTTTTTCCTAGAAATGGAATTTTAAAAACCATATTACAGTGTTAGTTGGACAAAAGTAAAAAAATTTTAAACTTATAATAAATTCTTGTGCAAACTAGAAAATAATATAGATGGCAAAACCGCATTATGTTAAAAAATTTGTTCAATTATAAATTTTGGTAAAAAAACAAATGAGTACAGTTCTATTAATATAATCCAACAATCCATGTCACTATAATGTAGTTGTTATGATAATAAAAGTATAAATTGCATGGTTTAACACGTTCGCTGAGGTTTCGTGATGACAGGCCGCGGCCGTGCGCGGGACCAGATAATGTGCTGCGTGTATGAGTGTATGAAAATGTTTACATTTAGTTTAATCCAATAGGAAAGGCATATTATAGCATGTACTGTGTTCCAGTCGTTGTAGACGTAGTTTTACTAGAAACCAACAGATAGCAGCACTAAACAAAAGTGTTTACAGGCCCTCAGTATTGCAAAATAGAGGGTCAAAAGCAAGGACAAATTAAACTAAAATTACCCATAAAAATATCACAAAAAAACATTAAGCACAATTTGGAGGTTAGGTCCCTTCCAAAATCATAATCGTTATCGTCAGCCATGTCACTAAATCTAAGCCAAAACCCTATACTATGCAAAGAGCACTGAAACAGTATGATACAAAAATGACCAATCCGAAAAATAATTGCACAAAAATGACACAAGAAACTAGCATTAAACATGGCGACAATAACAAGGTTTCTCGCCAACTTCTGGGGTCACATCAAGGCAATGTTAGTGAGAGGAGTATAGTAGTACATTGCTAGTGCTTAGGTACTACAATTATAGTAGCCCGCAGCGAACGTGTTAAGGAACAGATTAAACATACAATCTAAATGTTTGTATCATCCTTATAGATCACATGACGAGAATTTGGAGGTGATCCTTCATAGTGATACGTGAGTGTGTTGAAGTTTTCTCTTTATTTATACTTTTTTTATTTTGCTTGCTTTAAAATGATTATGACTAAGCTAAGTAGCTTGATATATTTGTGAACAATGTCTTGATCTCTGATATTATAATTAAAGAGTTAAGGCGTTATAAGTAAAGAGTTATAATGGAAAATTTGCTCTTAAATAACAGAGCAACAATTAATCAACATCAACCCACTCAAGCAACACCGCACATAAAAACTCTTAGACATAGATTTTAGTGTTGGTAATTACATTGTTGAGGATTAAAAATTTGTTTGCATGTTTGATCATGAAAAACTCATATCATAGGCTTATAAAGTTAATAAACTAATATACTGTTTAGTGTTTGAGCCTTCAATCCTACTGCTTGTCTTTTTGTTCATAATTTCTACAGTGTTTAATACTAATTTGTATTTTTTGTACGCTAAAAGGCCTTTATATCATATTTACATTTTCCTAAAACAGAAATTGCTACTTAAATTTAAAATGCTTGACACAACAATACTGAAAATGATTCATTTGTAAATATTTTGCAAATACAATAGCAATCAACGTTAAAATAGTTATACGCAGAAGCAACAAAAATGTTCATTTTAATTCAATGACTAACAACTTTATAAAATATATCATAAACAATAACAAAAAAATTTGAGCGAGTCCTAATCTTTCTAACAAATTTTCAATTTCTTCTACAACCGCAGTTTGAGCATTAAGTAGACAGACTCGAGAAAATAAGGAAAAGTAACGAACACATTGAAACAAAGAGAGATTGAATCGTATGACAATAAGTTTTGATTATCCTAGTATTCGTTGCTCGTGAGGCAAAGGTGGGATTGGCTGGCGACGTGTTTAGACACGTCATGACCAGTTGGGGTGGATCTCGTTGAACACCCATTGTTGATACGTGTTGACCGGATCACACGGCATCAAGGCCAGATGATGAGTCTGGGGGTGAAGTCCGGCACACTTCTTGTGAACATGGTGGAGCAGTGTGTGAGACTCCTACGGAAAACCAAGTAAAATTTACGTGAAAATGTTTGAAACACACAAAAAAGTTCAACACAAAAACAGTCAAATTTAAATGCTGCTGTTTAAATTAAATTAGGAGTGTGCGTCAAGTTTGAATTGTTGAATAAAAAAGTTAGTATTCAAGCTTGGCTCGAAATAAAGGATTTAATCAACCCAAGTTCAATTCCAAGCTGGTTAAGAAACCTTTGGTATATAATAGCATAAATATTTTTTTAAACATATTCAATATTAGGGTATATTTGAAAACAAAATATAGTGTTCAATTTAATTAAAATCCAAAAATCACTATTCACAAAGCCCTGGGTTAAATAAAAAATTATGTACCACTCTTTTTATTGAGGGAGTTATCATTGCCTAAAAATGAATTCATTTTTGTTTAACCATTCCCCATTAGTCAGAAGCCTTGGTTCGAAAATGGAAATGGAACTGTTCATCTCAAATTGACCTATTTTAAGTACATTACAGGTAATATTTTAATTACCCTAAATATGAATAAATTTAGGAAAACATACAAAAATGTTTACTGTTGCCACATTCTTACCTCATCATATTCCCATGGACCATTGACAGTGCCCAACTTGCAGAAGACAAGTTTGATTCCTTGAGAGTCAGCATCAATACACCTCTCACCAATGGCCAGCTGTCCCTTGGCGTTCAGTCTTACCAACTGGACAAATAATTAACAACCTTAGAAATATTTGTGAAATATACATACATTTGCATCATACACACAATTACAAACACATAGGCCTATACAAGGGAATATTCCCAAAGTAGCCTAAAAAAGAAAAAAACATTTTTTAGTCATTGGATGATTATTTGAATGTGTTACTAATTTAATTTAATTTATACAAATTTAGACGTTCAGTTTAGTAACGTAAAATTAATTGTATTACTTATTTGGTAAAACAAAACAGAGCTATAGAAAGACCTAGCTCTAATCCATTAGGATTGGACTTCCAAAGATGATTCGGAAGGTCATATACTTAAGACTCACACAAACCATACCTTAACAGTTTGCTTACGTACTGGTATTGTAGCAGTATTCCTTCATTGTATGTAAAATATTGTAGGTAACCTGTATTGGTTTGTCAAATTTAATACTTTAAGACTTTTCAATGAAATGGCGATTAGATGTAAACATGATAGCTCACGAGTTAAGTTTGTTAATTATAAACAAATCATAGAGTTTACAAGCATTTGAGATGTTTTTAAAATTAATGTATTTCATACGGTACGTACATTTAAATATTTTTTTACAATGGAAACAAGTTAAACTGACTCATAAATCATTTTGGCAAAGCCAGTTTTCTCAAGAAATCTTAACCTCCACCATAAAAACAGTAAAAAATGATTTTATAATGCAATGCAATGAAACATGATATTTACTTTGTGTCACAAAAGTTTTAAAGAAATGTGAAAAATACAAATTTGTTTATCATTTTACACAGTCCACTCATTGTTTCATTTCAACGAGAATTGTATACCAAAATAATAAAATCAAAGCTATTAACAAACACGTTACCTTCATCATGCAAAATTATAGACTTTATATCAAGTTCCTTACCATTTCATCTGCATAGTCTTCATCAGAAATCTAAAATACCAAAAGCAATTGAAAAATTGCTGTTTTGTTTTAATTTAACAATATGAGAAAATCATATGGAATTAAAAAGTGTTAATCAAGGTACATATTAATCTGATAAATTCATTAAAACTTAAAAAAATTTAGTTTAAACATTTTAGCTTTTTGACTTAGTTAGTAGAACTGAAAATCAAACTATTGAATTCCATTTAGTCTAACCCTTTCTGTATACGAAAAATATCGAACGAGGGTTACAAAACTTAAACTCTTAAATTCTATAGAATGTTGGCTATTTCGTTTACTCAGGCATGTTATATAACAAATGGGGGAAGAATATATTTGAAATTATGAAATTACACATCTCCATTGCCTACTGTGTTTAAGCTAGCCATCACCATTGCTCATAACAAGCATTTCAAACTTATGCTGGGGGGGGGGGGGGGGGGGTAATGTTTAGTGACCTATTAAATTAGCTAACAAAAAAACTCAAAGCTATGTTTTTGAAACAATTATTAATAAATAAGTATAATTGAGAGTTATCAACTACACTCAGTAAAAAAAATAAAATACATCTGAACAAAAATACAGTGGAGTCCCATTAATCTGAACTTCGGTAATCCGAAAGTCCGCTTAATCCAAAAATAAAAAAATACTTTTTTGAAATCTTTTAAATTTGTTTGAAAATTTTTTGAAATTTTTTTGAATTTTTTTTAAAATTTTTAGGAAATTTTTTGATTTTTTTTAAAAATTTTTGTTTATTAAACTTTTAACACAGTTGGCTGTACCTCGTCAAAGTATTCTGTAGCGGTCGGGCGAGATAGACTTTTTGTAGAGTATTTTAGTAAATATTTCACCATTTTTGTTATTAACATTTTTCATTTTCGTCCCGGGTTCCAATCCCACCAAATCACAAATGCATTTTATGAAGTGATAATGCTGCAGCCACTAGGTCTAGTCTTAAGTAATCTGAAAAACAATCCCAAAAGATTTCAAAAAATAAAAAAAATTAAAATTTTTTTTTTAAATTTCTAAAAAGTAAAAAAAAAACAAAAAAACGTTTAATCCGAAATATTCGGTAATCCGAAATGGGCCCGGTCCCAACCATTTCGGACTAACGGGACTCTACTGTACATGATTATGACCTCAAGGGCATTTTATATTTCTAACCCCATTTTATAAATATATTTAAGTTTGCTAGAAATAAGCCTGTGGGCACTATGGATTATGGTATTACCTGATTGTTTCCGAAGCCATGGCAGTGAGACGTTCCCATAAGTGTTGGAGGACCATGGCCCATGGTGTCCATACACGACTGACCAGCCACGTTGCGAAGCTGTCAACCAACACAACTATTAGTATTAATACACAATTTACAACAGTGGCTGAACTATGTGTTGTGTTGTAAACACTATGACAATATTTTGTTCACATTTGTATTCCAGATATTAAACCAGATTAATTAGTCATGATAAAACAAGATTACGTATTTTAAGTAAATAAACTCATACCCCTTTTTGTGTTCAATTGATTCTAAACAGAATAAATTTAAAACTCTGCAGTCACATCATATCATTCACATCTATGCTTTACACCACGTCAACAATCAGCATGGGGTCACAACTGGGCAGGTTTAACCCCAAATATGATTGAAGGATGCGAGCTTGGAATGAAGTATCTTGCGATTTGTTACCAACTAAGAACAGCTGTTTCATTACCTTGGGTCATATGTTAAAAGCCTATTCTGTGGGCGTTTTCTGCCACTGGTGATGCCCCTATTCCAGGTAAACCTGCGCTACTAGCTGTTGTTTGTGCTACACTTGAATTTAACATTAGGTCTTGGTGTTTTCATTTTGATCTTTAAATATTATATTCAATCAATAAAAACCAGCTAAACCATGGTTATACAATATATATATATATAAATTTATGTAAAGGATTGAAAGTTACACTCACCTCTCCCCAATGCAGATTAGGAGGCAGCTCTGGGAACTTGTCGTAAACATCGTAAGCGACGTTGTCCATGAACCACTGGAAATTCTTGCACTGGAGTCGCTCCTTCAGAGCCACCTGTTCAGAGATGTCACCCATGTCCAGGAACCTAGCGAGAGGCTCCCGAGTGTAGAAGAACTCCTTGTGCTTCTCATCAAACCATGTCTCTATCACCCGTTTGTAGTTCTGTAGCCAGCAATACAGTCATTAGCTTATATCAAACTATAATGAATACTTGTCTTTGTAAATTTTTATTTTATTACAATTGTTCAAGACAGCATGTACTAATTGGTATAATTTAATCATAGACAAATAGAATAAATATAGACTGTGAAAAGAAGGTTTTGCGATGTTCTGCTAGAGATTGCTTGGTGTACGATTCGCTGCCATCATCAGCTACTCGAAGGATGCTACCAGTGTGGTGCTATCGTAACTACGCAGCACTCCTAGCGGTGGACGAATGAACATACCTATGCTAACCACAGCACTGCTGTCGGTCTATATTTAATTATTTTTGTCTTTGATTTAATAAACATTGTATGTTGTAATAACCACACAAAATGTTAGTTGAAGTAATGACAGTGAAGGGTTGCTTTTAATGCCCTATTCAGAAAGGGTAGGCTATTTAAACCTATTAGATATGGATTACAAAATATATAAGCCCTGTCTATAAATTTAATCATCAAACTTAAAATCTTAGCATTTTCAATACCATTAAAATTTAAAACCTAAATTTCTAAATCCCAAATACCACCACATAACCACCAAAAGACACCACACACATTATACACTTTAAATTGGGTATTAATTGGAGCATTATTCTCTTAAAAGGTAAAAAAAAAGGTAACAAATTGTTCATCCAAACAGTACTTTACCTGACCAAGCAATTTACTTAGCTGTAAAAAATATTTCTGACACTTACAATAGTAATGAGGGGACCCTTCTTCTTCTTGGCGAGATTACCAAAGTTGTAAGGCATAAAGCTTCGGTAGACGTGGCCAACGCGGGAGCATGGCACCCACAGAATACTGCCTCCGCACTGCCAGATCTATAACAAGACTTGGGGTGAGGTAACAGCTTGCAGAGGTAATTTTATTATCAGATAAGAACCAAATCAATATCACCACCATTACCACTTATCATTATGGTTATTAAATCATTTTACCTCCAGCAGTTAGGGAATTAACATTTTAGTGGCTATTTTTAAAATATGTTGGCATTATGTATTATCAGCACAAATAACAGTGAATGATTAAATCATAAAACTTTTTTTTAAAGAGGTTGGCGGCCCCTTTTAACCTTGCATTTGCCCGTCCACATAGATTATGCGCCCGTGCGTGGATCGTTTACAGCAAAGCAAGGAGTGAGCCGGTACAGTACAAAGGTGAACTGTACTGATAAATTTTAGTGGCAGTGACCAGGATCCGAACCCACTACATCGCTGCCTAGGGCCCGAAGTCCGCGACGTTACCGACTGAGCCACCGACTCACTTCACTTTCACTTCATTATTATTAAAAGAACTTTCACTTTTCATTATTAAAAGAAAACAAATATTAGTAGTAGTAGTCAGTAGAACTATGTTGCTTTCAATTAACATTTAACAATTAACAGTTAAATAATTAACTTATAAATATATTGACCAGTAAGAGGTTAAAGGTATAACATAAAGCACAAGGGCTTAGGTTTTTGGGACATTAAATGAGGATATCTGGCTTACCTGGATGGAAAAAAAAACAAACTGGCACAAAAAACACAAAATCTTATACTGTACACAAAACATTACTTCACTTAAGTTTTATGTTATTGTGCCAGTTTGGACTGTTTCCCATTCAGGTAAGCCTGCTTTTCTCACTATAAATCCTATATTGACAAGTATGGTCATAGCAATTCAAGCTATTCAAAGTTTTAGTTGGTGACTTCATTCTTGGATATGTACAAGGGCTAAATAATCTCTCTGCGGTGCTAAATAATCATGGAAAAGACACAACATCGCCTATTTTGAATAAAATACCACTCTCAATGATTATGTAAGTAAATAATTCTATCTACTGCAGAGTTTATTAATACCCACCTTCAGTATTTACAAATGATTGTCATTGTCATAAAACCACATATACCAAACAGGCTACAGCTCTTAAAAAGTTTCTTTCTTCATAGAAGTTATTTTACTAAATAAAAGGTGTAAATTAAAAAAGACACGAAGGGAGCGACCACCTCCCTCGTTCATATATATATAATACCTTTTTTTTACTGCATGTAATACAGTAGTGCATACACATTGTGTAAAATAATTTGTCACCCTAACTTTGGACAAAGAAATGGTATAAAACTGCCATTCTGGAGACTTAGTTAACAAAAATTTTTCGGAGTAGTAACTCCGAACCCCCTGCCCCCCGGTTCGCCACCCCCTTGTGCCTGTTCTAGATCTGCCATTGAGAAGAGCAATGCCTTTGTAAAAATTTCAGTCTGGGAATATTTTAATTTTGGATAGTTCCCATCGCAGCCGCTAGGTAATTATCAAGAGCGCGCGGCCAAGTCAGCACGCCAAGCTGACTGAGTGAGAGAGAGTAAAACAAAGAATTGGCTTTAGAAACAGAGAGTAGTGCGGCAGGTGTGCAAGTAATCCTAGCGGTGGCCGTGCAAAGCTCATTTCAGCGGCAAAATTTCAGTCTGAATATTTTTCAAAAGCATTTTGCTTCATAAAGGGTTTATATTCATTGATATTATTCAACCCTCTGATTCATCATGCCTCACCTTAAAGGAAAGCTCAAAATTTTCACCTCCCCAAACGAGCAAACCAGGGTCATATGCTCCAATTTCCAAAAAGTAAGCTCGATCTATGGCAAATAGGCCTCCAGCATGAGTGGGCGATCTAGAAAAAACATTGTAAAAAATTCAAATTAAATGAATAAAAGAAACACCATTTACTTTGTGAAACTACAAGTCAAACAAACGGATAGTAGGCCTAATCATGAGCTGACAGATGTTCGATTGTTTGGCCACAGGTAAATAAGCACAGGTGTTTTGTTGTTTGGTCACATGTGATCAGAAGTTAAGTAAATATTTGCAACGCCTGCTTTCTCAATACTTGCTAATGTAATGGTGAAAGATTACTCAATGATCACAGCTGATCAAACAATAGCTTAACTTTAGCAGGTGTTTGACATCTTGTGATTATGGCTGACGTTAAATTTGTTTAACTTAAGATTTTGACAGTATGCCATAATAGAATTTCACAAAAATTCTGTATAGCACTTTAAATATTAATATTGACTATTTTACTACAGTTGATATAACCATTCTATATTCAAATAGTTTCTAAATATAAGACGAGAATTTTGAACTTGGTATATAGTAAAACAATTTTAGCATTAGTTTCCTTTATAGGATTTTTTTATCACCATAGTGTACAAAACACTAAAACAAGTGTACAAAACATTGTAAATCAAATTTGAGATACATTCGCTTCTAATTTTCAACAACTTCAGTTAAACATCCAACATTTATAGGAAGCCAAAAGTTAATTGATATAAATATAACTCTTATAGCAGATCAACTTCTTAAGGTTAAAATCACTTTAGAACTTTGAGGGGCGTATTGCCAAAGTAACAGGATGTGTTGCAAGCATAGTAATAGTATCATGTGCGACAACCTCAGGGCTATCTGAAGGCACAGTTCCATTGAGAGGTTAAGACTATAGGCTACTTTATACTTTTGACTCGCTTATCAACCAAGACTTTTATGAAAGTCGACAATATTAACTGACTTGTAAGGTTCGCTGTTGTACTCTCGAGTGTCCGCTTCTTTCTGTGGAAGTTCGTTCTCCTTGTACAACATTCCCCACTCAAAGATGCCTCTGAAATGATGGCCATCTTGATACACGGCGTGGTACTCAAAATGGCTGTGGTCGATCCCATCTATCACTGGCACCGTCATCACTGTTCTGCAAAGTGCAAAAAACATTGTCAACTCGTTCATAATACGTAAAAAAACAGGCTAAATTGTTTAAAATTTAATTTTGGAATGTAAAGTGAAGAGAGATTATTTAATAAACATATAAAGCAATTTTCCCGATGAAGAGAAAATAAATAGAAGTGATACCCACTATTATCAGCTTCTGCCAGCTTCTTTTTAATAGGATTTAAAACCAACTATTACACTAATGGCTACCTCTCTTTGCAACATTTGTTCAAATCGCTTGTAGTCCATTCACAAAATTTAGGCGGTTAAAGGGGAAGCTTTCCCACCAATTCTTTTTTTTAATGTATGTTGCAGCTGACCTGCAAGACCTCAGCTGTTGAGCTATTGTTTTAAAGGTAGGATGAAATGGAGGGGGTTGATTTTTTTCTCTAAAACCACCTGCATATTGTTAACAGAGTATAGGGCCTTTAATATGGCATCATCGGGTAAAGAGCAGTGGCTCTGTAAGGGTCAACCATTGTATTCTATATTTCTATGTTCACAAAAACCAAGCTTGTGTGTAAACGTAAACCGGAAATTGGTCATGAGTCTAGTCTACCTGTCTTTGTATATAGGAGCAACCAAGGGTGGGAGCCAGTTGTAGCCGACCTCGCAGTGAGCGTCCAGGAACAATATGATCTCTCCTCGTGCCTCCTTCGCTCCCCGCGACCTTGTTCTTATCAACCCTTCTCGTTCTTTGTTCCTTATCAGCCTAACTTTGCCGTTGAACTGCTCGATGTAATCTTGCAGCTGATCCTTCAAGTGAGCTGTACAGGAAATAAAATTAGCTTTTAAAATTTTGTGAGGTGACTGATTCAAATTTACTAGTTAACCGCCCGTGCTCCGCCACGGGAATATAGTCAGCAGTAAAAGAAATAATAATTAACAAATACTGTTTATCTTTGTATTTTATTTAGGGGTTGTTTAATTTTTTACATGAAATAGAACTGATAGTTTGCATGTATAAACTATTTTATGTTAATCAAACCGATATTATTTTAACCAAATGAATGTTTTATATTAATTCGAGTTTCATTTGAAAAATAAATAGTATACGAAGTGGGCAATGCTGATAACCTAATAAGCAGCTATTTATGCTATTTAGATAATTTGCTCAAGTATATTCCTATATTCGTTGTTTTTTTTCATTGCATTTGTTGTATGGAATAAAGATAGTCACTTAGCCTACATGTAAATCACGCATCAGCAGTTGGTCGCATTTCACGAATCTTTGACCCTTACTGTGAGTAAAAGCTGTGTTTACGTCGTATAAAGTTGGGCATACTTTGTTCAATGTTAGAGGGTATTAACGGTCCAATTTAATGGAAAAGGAGTCGTGGATTTTAAAATTATGTAGACTACCACTACCGTACCAGAAAGATGTTGATTCAAGTGAGACTTAGAACTGAACATTTCAAATGCAGATTTGTATTATATTTTCCTCAAATAGCTTTTTGTTTCTTTTGACCCTTAATACTTTTTTATAGTCGCTGTTGATAAGATTTTCCATAAACTCAAAATGTTGATAAAGAGCTCATTTTACCTTCCCCTTGTGACAACATAAGGAAAAAATATTTGTGTCCCAGTTAGTCTGTTCTGACTCAAAATTCATAGATTTGCAGTACTGACAAATCCAATCTAACGACCCCAATTCAAAAGAGTTGGTATTTTTTAGTAGGGACTTCCAGAGCACATTTAACACCATCACTGCTCTTTACCTTTTTAGTTCGATGGTTCTCTGCATGTTTTTTTCGTTCTGTATGTCTCTTTACGCCCGGTTAATGATTTTTGACCTTTTCTTTTTCTTTTTGTAATTTTCACATCCTGGGGTTAATGATAAAGTTTTATAACGCTATAATGACCCGTGTCAACATTGCCATTAAACATCAAGTCAGATACTTCTTCGCCAGAACCGAAATCGTAAGTCACAGTTTCTCAAGCAACTTCCCTGTGTAGGCCTACTCGAAAAATATAGTTAGGGTATAGTTCACTGATAAATTGTAGTTCCAAATATCCCAGCGTACTCGCCATCTCGAGAAGGTAAAATTTGGACGTCGAACACTGATCTTGAGTAAGATTAATCACTTACGATAAAATGTTTGTATGTTTACCAATCATTAGCAATTATCTGTACAACTTGCAAGCGGATTTCCCTATGATTGTTCTGGTGGCTATAGAGAATAAATTATATTGATCAAAACAATAAGTTTCCGTCCCCTACTATGGGTATTATTTCACATTCCATGCTCAAACTTAAATTCAATTAGGTACCACTTTCCTTCAGATCACTTTGCAAGAAAACTAAAACATTTTTGTGTCCCAGTTAGTCTGTTCTGACTCAAAATTCATAGATTTGAAGTAGTGACAAATCCAATCTAACGACCCCAATTCAAAAGAGTTGGTATTTTTTGTAGGGACTTCCAGAGCACATTTAACACCAACACTGCTCTTTACCTTTTTAGTTCGATGGTTCTCTACATTTTTTTTTCGTTCGGTATGTCTCTTTACGCCCAGTTAATGATTATCTTTTCTTTTTCTTTTTGTACTTTTCACACCCTGGGGTTAATGATAAAGTTTTATAACGCTAATGACCCGAGTCAACATTGCCATTAAACATCAAGTCACTTAACTTCGCCAGAACCGAAATGGTAAGTCACAGTTTCTCAAGCAACTTCCCTGTGTACTTGAAAAAAAAAATTCACTGATAAATTGTAGTTCCACGTATCCCAGCGTACTCACCATCTCGAGAAGGTAAAGTTTGGTACCACTGAACGTCTTAACACTGATCTTGAGTAAGATTCGTCACCTATTATAAAATGTTTGTATGTTTCCCACTCATTAGCAATTATATGTACAACTTGCAAGCGGATTTCCCCATGATTATTCTGGTGGCCGTAGAGAATAAATTATATTGATCAAAACAATAAGTTTCCGTCCCCTAGTATGGGTATTATTTCACATTCCATACTCAAACTTAAATTCAATTACCACTTTCCTTCAGATCACTTTGCAAGAAAACTAAAACATTTCAAAAATAAGTTAACAAATACACTTTCCTTGATCAAAATCGTGTGTTTATAAACAGAAACTCCAAGTTTAATAATTACATACTGAAAGTAAGGTTATAAAAATAATAACAAATCTAACAAACATTAAACAGCTGACAATCTATCTATAATATTAAAACGAAACAGTGTTTTTTTATTTCACGATTCTGAATCAACCACTCGACGGATTTTCATGATTTTTGTGTTGAAAGAAAGATAATTTTGAGAACTAGGGAATGTCGAAGCCATAATTTTAGTTTAGGGCCCCAGAGTTTTAGAAATTAAGTTTTAATTTTTAAAAAGTCTAGCAGCCGACGCTAAGATTCTAAACTATCTTTTGGCATAAAATAATTTGCTTAACATAACAGCTGTAAACATTCAGCTTTTGTGTCACAAATTCAGCATTTGGATAAAAATGTAAAGACATACTTAGGGTTGACTTATTTATACTATGTGTAATGCTAATCATTGATACGTTCAATTCTTCTGTAAGAGGATGACAGCTTCATTAAATATACATAGTAAAATACTAGGATGTTCAAATTATTTTTTAAAGCAATCTTTGTAATCTTTGATTTGTTTTAGAGGAATACAATTTGTTTTAACTAACAGCTGGTTAAATATCAACTATGGAACTATGAGGTTATTTTATTTACTTTTATTTTGTAATTGATTATAGTAAATTAAGTAAGATTAGTAGAGATAATTAGACCACAGTTTTAACAAAAATTAATTAATCCACAGTACAAATCGAGGCTCTGTACACGAGTCTTAATAAAAAAGGATAAATGCAAATTATTTTACTGCTACATTTTTCAAGGAAAGATTAGAAAAATTACAATGTTTACATGTTTAATTCTTCATGGTAGCTTTTTGTTTACAATTTATTAATGTTTGTCTGCTTTAACTTTGTATGGATTAGGCCCGGAAATATTGATGTCATAAAAAGAAGATCAAGAATAATCAGGAATCACGATTTTAAATTACCACCACAACCTCAGCCGGGTTTTATACAAAGATAAACAGATGGATGACATAGATTGAACACAACGTCAACATTGACCTAGGATACTGCAATTAGACAAACCATCCTTTTATGAAATCGTGTTCAGTTGTGGTTACGTTTGGGGGCGCCTATATCAGCGCCCCCAAACGTGAAAATATCACTTTTATTTCAACGATGAATATATTGTAGTTTAAATTAACTAATGTGGGAAATTACAATGTACATTAATCAATGAGGGTGGGTAATTATCAAGGATAGAACTGATAACGGTATGGATAATAATCATTGACAATTTCGTCATTAGCTTTACTAGCGTGTTTACTTTTTATATTCCTGCTACATGTGACCAGTTCTTTTTTCAATTGAATATTATTTGAACCAAACTGCTGTTTCAAAACAAACTGTTATTGTTTTTACTTTTCTTTGTTTACGCTTATTTACTTAGCAATTAATGCAGTGATAGGTGTGACGATTAGTTTCAATGTTAGGACACCAAAGTTAAATTATGTGTACTGTGAATTTTATTGGATATTATCGTTTTATTTAAGGTAGTATCTATTCAGACCTACTGGAAATTGTGTATAGTAGTTGTATTGTGGTGGTAATAATTATGGAAGAGGCAGGTATGCTATGGAAGGTGGTATTGTTGACTAGGTCTATACACTAACTTCTCAATTGACTATTACTCTCTCTCTACTGTAGGCTACTTATAATCAGCGTGCGTCCGTGCGAAACGGCTGCAAATCTCACTTCAACGGTTTTCACATCGTAAAAATTGCAGAATTGCTGTTTTATTGTAAAATTATCGGATTTAAAATGCATATCGTATAGGCCTATGATGGAATAAAAACATATTTGGTCACACAACATTTGTTTACAAGATGATTTTTCTCATTAAAACTGCAAGAAACTTTGTCTTTGTGTAAACTAGCTGATCTGAATTGTACACGGTTTTAACTGACTCCTGAATTCCCGTTCGTAGGACGGGCTAACACCTCGTATATATAAAAGGCAAAGCCCTCACTGACTCACTGACTGACTCACTCACTCATCACTAATTCTCTTACTTCCCATTTACCTAGGAGGCTGAAATTTGGTACACTGATTCTTTATGCATTAAATAGGAAAACTAAGTAGTTTTGATTCTGATCGGACTCTCGGGCTCCGCCCCAGTGGCTCTGGAGTTTCCCATGTTAACCTTATGAGTACTCATATTTAAATGGAATTAATGAATCTTAACAGCTGTTTCAATTAAACAAGTTGGTTCTGTTCTATGATGTTCAATAGCATTAAAGGTACAAGGATTACCAACAGGGTGCACCACTATTATTTTTTTTAATTTATGACAACAGCTAATTTGTAACCCAAAGGTGAGTGAGCGTAGCGAACGAGCTAACCTGAAAGCAAGTGAACGCAGCGAACGAGCTCCAACGTAAAGGTGAGTGAGCGTAGCGAACGAACTTCAACCAGGACGTGCGAACGAGCTCACTTACGAAGTTAAACGGGGCAAAGCCCGAGGGTACAGCTAGTTATTAAATAAGCTGTAAATTATATTCTTCAATAAGAATTGTATTGACTCAACCTTTGAAGGGCTGTAGGTCTTAACCCTTAGAAAAAACGTGAATTCTAATGAAGTTCGGCAAATCTATGCATTATCCCCTTTAATTTGACACATAGATCTAGTGGATCGGTCCAGTAATTACTGAGAAAACAGTGTTACAACTGTGTATTAAATATATAGATTTTACCGTTGATGCATTGAAGCTTAGTTTACTTGATATTTTTACACTCCAGCATATAGAAAAAAAAATATATTTTTATTACAAAAACTCAATACAGCGGATCACTCCGGTGTGTATTTTAAGCTGAATATGAATGCAATGAAAAGTGAGTTTAAAATGGAGTAAAATATGATCGGGAAGATTAGCTTTTTCTTTATCCATGATCATTTATTTAAAACCCAATAATGAAGGACAGCTAGGTATTTTCGGCCCATCATAAAGCTACTGGCTTGTCTCATGATCAATTCGGTAACTTTTTAATTGCGAGCACTATAATCAATACCGTGAATATGAGTAGTTTACCTAGAAACATTAGTTTGATCCTTTATAATTTATATTAGCAAAAATTAAAGTTAGAGAGAGCACAGCCTCAAGTATCAAACTTTAAAAAAAATCTCTGTCTAGATTTAAAAACTTAACTACACAAATGTAATAATCGATAGTGAACCTTTATTGCTATAGTCGTCAACAAGAAGAACTTCCTCTAGGAACTGTGGTGGTGTTCTGTTGATCACTGAATGGACCGTTCGCATCAGCGTACTCCATCCTTCATTGTGGAACACGATTATAACACTCGTCCTTGGCAAGTCTTCTGGGTAGTTCCAATGTTTACATCTGTAAAAAATGTAATACGTCAAAATGTAGGCCTATTACACCCATTTTTTTATCGTTGATGACATTAAACTAATAAATAACTTTCAAAAACTGTAGGCATACTCCAACAAAGTTTTGAAGCATTCTACCATTCAGTGTTTTTTACCTTGAGGTAGGCCTATATCGTTTAAACTAGAAAACTACGTATTTGAAACCAAACAAAAGTTTATTCTATACTCACTCTTCAAGGCGGAGGTCTGGAATTGACCTATCTAGACTTATCTCGTTGGAACACGCCATGTTCATGCCATACTCGCTCAGAGCTTGTGAAGCTTCGTTTTCTTGTTCAGGTTTAAGCTCGTGCTTCTTCCCTCCCTCCCCAGGTCCAGACCTCTTCTCTACTGACTTGGGTTCAAAGTTACCAGGGCCGTCTTTTACATAAACTGGCGACTGCAAGACAATCATCATTCATGTAAAACTTAAATCTGTAACCATTCACTTATAAAGTACCAAGTACATCATATTAGTTAATCATTGTCATTGAGATGATAAGGATGATACCGAATTTGGGGTGAATCTATGAATCTTTATGGAGTTACAAAATTAGGTGTATGACAGTCGATAGTATTAGATGACAAGTTAAAATTCTCCGATTAAGTACCTATATGAATGTTAATTTCATGATTTGTGCTTTACTGTTTGGTTATTTAACTAAAGGACGAGTTATTGTTTGTGATAGGATAGTTTTATTTGGTTAAACGAGGTTTTAAATGACTGAAATAACAAAAACAAATTGTAAACAAAACACAACCTCTACAGTTCACCAGTGGCGGATCCATCAGAGGGGGGGCGAAGGGGGCATACATCCCCCCCCCTTGGGCATACATATATATATATATTTTACTGCATGTAATACAGTAGTGCATACTCATTGCGTAACATAATTTGTCATACTATCTTTGGACAAAGAAGCGGTATAAAACTGCCATTTTGGAGACTTAACTTAGCTTACAAAAGTTTTTCGGGGGGGGGGGGGGGGGGGGGGGCAGTCCCCCCTTGTGACTGTTTTCTAGATCTGCCACTGCAGTGCACCAGACAGAACTAGCAATAAAATTGGCTTCAGCTGTTCCATAAGGATGAGAAATCTACTAAGGGAATATGTTTTATCTATGGTTAACTCACTAGGCCTCCGGTTCCTTCTATCATGGTTTTAAATATTTTGTTCATAAAAGTTGTGGTAGAATGCTAAGTTTTAAGGTCAAGCTAATGGGGTAAATTATACTTTTCAGTTTCTTGATACTAGTAAGCTAATTGTAGAGTTTTTAGTGGTGTTAATTTCAAATATTGTAAAACCCGTTCTGTATAAAAAGTCTAGATATAGCCTAATAAGATAAATTTCAGTTTACAGAACTTAAAAATTGCATTGAGATGTTTAGGCTATTTTACAGGCTATGGCAAAGATTGACCATTAATTAATCTAGCCTACAAACGGGAAGATGGACCGGTAGACCAGTGTTTCCATTCTCGGGATTATTATCCCGAAAACAGGATTTTTAGACCACGAGCGGGATTAAAACGGGATGCGGGATAAAACGGGATTTTCAGCCATGGCGTATATTTTAATTTTTTTTCTATTTAACTTGAGGGGAAAACGAACTACAATTGATTAAACTAGTGTAGCAAAAGATAATAGCAATGTTTACACAACTATTTAAACATGGTACAGGTACGTCAAATATAACATTCGGGATTGAATAAAAAAACATGCGGGATAAATCGGGATTTTCCATCATTCAAAAGCGGGATTAAACGGGATTTTTTGACCCGGCAAGCGGGATTATTTTTTTGGTCATGTGGATACACTGCGGTAGACCTAATTCTAAAATTGATCCAAATAATTTTTAAATATTCTCATAATTTTACCCTACAGTACCTACTGATTGAAATGTGAAACAAGCACTCTGTCCATACAAGCCACGCTTGGATTAAATTTATTGAATTTTTAGGGTGAGGTATACAGCATTTTGGTAAGCATACTATATGGTAACACAAAACGTGCTTATGGCGATCTAAACCCATTAGGTAAATGCTCTCCGGATAAGCTGGATAATCTGTTCCTCTAAATGAAAACATATTTAATGACAGCAGTAACAACGTTCTTAGAAATGCACTTTCATTTTAACCTAGAGAATATTTAATTTAGTGTTTAAACCTAGATCTTACCCCTCTTACTGTTCTCATGTGCCCTCTTCCTGGTTCTTCTTTCCAAACTTTAGATGGTTTTAAGGAACTGCTTGCTAATAAATAAACTATGGGTAAAATAATGCATATTGCTGCTATTAATTTGTAGAGTCTGGTTCTTTTAATTTGTAATACACGCATTTTAAAAGTTCAATTTTAAAATAACCTAGCCTTAAGAGTTAACTGAATTTGTGTAAAACTAAATTTGTTTAAATTAAACGTAGGATCTTTTTCAAATCTTTGAGTACTTTAGAATGTTATGATTACAAAAACAAATGCATTTTGATCGTTCGAATATAGATTTGCTAAATAGCCGAGAACACAAAAATCACATTTTGAAATATCAGACACAATCACAATCACACACACAGTTCCATTCAGTTGACAGGTCTAGGTCTCTCTACTCTCTAGTCTCTCTCGTTTCTGCGTCTGCTACGTGTCAAGCTGTCTGTTGGTACCAAGCCAAGATACCAACGTCTAGAAAATGCTTTAAGCATTGATCATAAAACATTAAATAGACGAGGCAACATAAAAGTTAAAATATTATCAAAGTCTGTTATTGTTTAAACAATTTAATACTATTTGAATATTTTTACGAATATGAAAAAAGCAGAATAATATTTTTTTTTATTCCAATGGAAACAAATTTACAACTTTGTAAACATGTTAAATAATATTCAAAATGACTAGATACTGCTTACATGCAAAGGGATAAGCCAAAGATGCGACTGGACTGTATAGCTACCATAATATAATCTTCAATAATAATTAATTGACAAAGAAGGTTGTGTTTATTTATTTATTATTACGGCAAACACCATTTTTACAATAGTTTTACATTGTGAAACATGCGACAAGATGCTTATTACAAATTACATGCTGATAAATTTAGTGCAGATACATAAGTGATACAAGCAAAAATTGTGTTCAATGAAAATGACATGCAGTTGTAATAACAATGAAGAGTGATAGTTGAATTAACTAATATTGTTGTTGCTAGCATAGTGGTTATAGCACAGATTAAAGGAGTAGACATACTCTATACTCCTATACCCTATACATGTCCATACTCCTTTTATTTATGGTTATAGCACCTCGGACTTTGTTGCAGGAACGGGATGGACCAAGGCCCCACTAGAAAAAACTGTTTTTCTAGTGGGGCCTTGGATGGACGCGGGTTCCATTCATGGCACATCCAAACAAGATTAGTGGGTTTGGACAGCTTTCCCTTAGAAGCGCTTATCTTACGTTGACTTTAATCAAAATACCACTGGCGAAGGGGAAAATACATACAGGGTCCCGGTTGCATAAACCACAGCGCCAAAAACATTTTTGTCCTACTGTATAATGCCATTGAATTATTATTATCTATGTATAGTCCCCACTCAGAAATAAATAAACTCCATGATTTTACGTTTTACACCATACTTTAACTCGTAGTACTGTAGGCTAAGTATAAAGTAAATAGTTTATGAACAAATTACGTTTGTGGCTAGTTGTTATGATTTAATACAGGACACTTAAGTAGTCTTAGAGCCCGAACTGGAACAAAATTAATTTGAGACAATGGGGTTTCTTATACACTCTTTGTAATGTTCTGAAAATATTATTTTTATACTCCTGGCTGGCTGTCTCTGAGGAAAAGGCTGCACATATGTTTGTTCCCTAGTTCCCTGTTCCCCTCCTACTGTCCAAGTCGATCAGTTTGAGGATAGAGGATCAGATGTTTTTAGTTCAGCAGACTGCAGGCAGACAGAATTCAGATCCAGATGGTAATGAATGGAGCACTGATCGTTACTGTCATAACAAAACAAATCTAATCAGGTTATATTATTGTTTTTTTACTCAATCGTGTAGAAATTGCAGGACTCATTAGTGCATTGTGTAATTTACTGTTTCCAAGTAATTATCCTACGTTATTTACAAGAGTATTTTGAACGGAATTGTGAAAATAGGTCACAGTGATTTTGTAAGGTTTCATGTTTGCTAGGTTGTTAAGAGACATTCTTCAGATAGTTTGTTAACATAACAAATGGATACATTCATCTTAAACAACAACAAGTAAGTTATCTTAATTATTATTAATAATAATATGACATTAATAGTCAATAGTTGAGTTTCTCTTTGGTCCCAGATAGGCGAGCTTTTTTTGGAGCTAAGTGTTGATGTAAAAGTGTACAATAACTGTAAAATGTAAATTTGAAATTAATTTAACTCCTTACATTAATGCTAAGTTATCTTAACTAAGTATTAGGTAACTTTGACTGTTCTGTAAGTAGGCCTACTCCTTATGCTAGTGCCGTAGAGTGGCGTAATATTGTGTGTGTCGTTCCATAATAAAATTGCAGGTGTCATTCCGAGTGATTTGATTAGCCTATCTACCGTCTGGACTATTGGTTTTTGGTATTTGTACGCTTTGTTGAGTAAAACGATTCTTTGCCTGTTGGTGACATCAAAGTTGACAATTCATGCTAACTTAGGCTACCTACTTTGGAAAATAGAGCACAAATCTTGTTAAGAATAATTTTCATGTAACATTTTAGCGAATTTCCCATAGACCTATAGGGAATAAGCTATTACCGTAGTACTCATGGTAAGACCTGGACCCGGGACCGATTTGCTTTTTTGTTTTGAGGTCCCTAGAGGCCTCACTGTAAACACCATTGCCACGATTGAAATTGTGACCGGGGGCGTAACCGGGATCGATTGAAAATAATAAAAATACTTTAGTGAGAGGTATAAGAATGTTTAATCATTATTCAAATAAAGTGGATGGACAATATGATAAAGATAATAATAAAGACAATAATAAAAATGGATGATAAAATAATTACAGGCTCCTTTTATTTAAGTAGGCCTAAGCAAATGAAATTTATATATCAAACTCTAATAATTATATAATTCTTTTTGACACGTTAATATATTCAAACAGGAATTTAATAGTAACTATATTTATTCACACAAATTGTAAATGAAATCAATTATTATAAAAATTATTACAATTAACATCAATCAATCACTGACTTTAAAAAGTTAAGTTAGCCTGGACAATCACAAAAATTATAAAGTTGAAATATTAATAAAGTAATCGCCTTACCAAAAACCCGGAGACCGGCGAAGTGTCCCCGTCAGATGACTGGGGCCAAGTGTCTTCCTTTCGGTCAACTCCGACCTCAGTCCCTCCAAAGTACAATTGCTAAGTCTACGGTTTTTGTGGGTCGGTCGATTGAGCAAGCTACGTGCCATCAAGAATTCTGTCTACTAAATGCCAATGTTCTGACACTGGTATATGCATTGTGAAATCCATTTACCAGGTCTTTTACTTTTGAAATATAATCCCAAAATTTAGAAAATAATTTTTGGTGACTACCCGTCACATTTCAAATTCAAATTCATATGGCCGGCCGCACACTGATCAGACAAAATGTCTTCGAAAGACGTCGGAAGTGAGTGGCCTACCATGCAGTTAAATGATGAGACAGAGTCTTCAGACGTGTTGTTTTGTCTGAAGACGTTTATGGGTGTTCTTGTGATCGCCTCCAATATTTCGTCTGAAGCCAAAACGCGGTCAGACAAACAGTTCTGCGCATGCGCGGATGGGGGATACAGTAGCTTACACGCACTCGCACTATCACCATTGATTTTATATCTACCACAGTTGCATAGGACTTGCTCTATTAGTGGAGTAACAATGTCGTCTGAAGAAAATAGTTCTAAAGTGGGTCATATTTACGTTAATATACGAGTAATATTCATTGTAAAATAATTATAAAATTTGGCAGCATCAGCTCGTAACTCCGCAGTGAACCGAATGTTCCATTTTGATTAATGAGATGAACCCAATGCTCCCTTCCTTCGTTTGGTTCTGCAAGTTGTATAAAGTTTCAAAACATAATTGCTACGTCCACTTCCTCCATCCATTTTATTAACACCATACAATCTCTGGCTTTTCACAACACTGGTCTACAGGTGACTGAATTTAGTTTTCCCTCTAGTTTTTTTCTTTTGTCTCAGACCACCGCACACCAGTGCGACATTTTTGTTTTCCGACAAAAAGTTTTGTCGAAAGAAAGATGTTTTGTCTTATCAGTGTGCTGCTGGCCATAGGCTAAATATATGTGTCCGTTAGCAGGATGACTCGAGCAAAAATTATCCAGTTTTAATGAAATTTGGTACAAACGTATAGGCTAAACCTACATTTATTCAAATGAGTTCGCCAACCAGCATGATCGGACTTTGGGAACAGAGATTTATCCCCTGGGGTAAAAATAGGGTTTTCCCATTTTTGACCCTGAAAACACAAATTTTCACATTTTCTTTCCTAACCATTTTGTAGAGCTTAAAAAAACAAATTATTTAGTATGTTGTGTTGAAGTGTTATTATGCGCCTAATGGTTACGAAGAAAATTCCAAAAAATTGTAAATTTAAAAAAATTGATGTTATTTTTATAGAGAATGAATAAGTCAACTGTTGTAGTTGCTTGTTTCTGAAGATATTTTGATCAAATTTGGAAAATACTATAATTTATTACTAAACTACAGTATGTCATTAACATTTTACAACAAAAAACACTTTTTACCCTCCCTGTTGCAGCAAACCTAAGTACCGGTACTCGGTAAACTAATTTTATTTAATTAGCCTGATTTCATTTTCAATTAGTTCCATTTAAATAACATTAGGTTTAACGAGTACCTAGGTATTGCTACAAAAACAGGGAGGGTAATAAAGTGTGTTTTTAGTAATATTAATAGCTTAGTAAAATAAATAAATTAACCAAGTTTGACCAAAATATATCCATAAATACCCCCGCCGCAGCAAACCTACAGACTAAGCAAATTTTCATTGTCTTAATTGATTTCCAATTAAATCTATTTAAATAACATTATTTTTAACGAGTACCTAGATTTGCTGCTAAGCAAAATAGTAAAGTGTGTTTTTTTAGTAAAATATTAATAACTTGGTATAAAATAAATAAATTTAAACCAAGTTTGACCAAAATATATAAATATAATACCTATATATATCCTATATATAAACAAGCAAACTACAAAATTTTACAATATTCAGAATAAGAATAACATGGAATCTTAATTTACAACTTTTTGAATTTTTTCTGTTATTAATAACAGTACAAAAAAAAACACTTTGATACACTACATTTTTTATTTAATCTCTTTAAAAAGGTTTAGAGAGAAATTGGGAAATTCTTATTTGTTTTGAGGGTCAAGTTTATCCCGCCATACAGCTATAAATCAAATTTCATCAAAATCAGACAAAAATTACTCAAGTTATCGCGTTCACGGACACATATTATATACATCAAATAACATAAAAAGCATTTTGAACAGATGGTGTTTTTGGCCTCTGGTTACATTAAAATGAAAAAAGTAAATCGGACCCGGACCTAGGTCTTACCTGAGACCTACGGTAATAACTACTTTCCTATAGGGAAATTCGCAAAAAAAATTAATAATTCTGTTAGAAAAATTTAATGATTTTAAACAAAATTAATCACAACAAAATGTGCATATATTCAACCTGTTGAGTTTGCAAAATTCAGTAATTTACTAGTGATGAAATCATCACTCTCATCATCAAGAATGATCTGACTTTCACTTTCATGTCCAGGAAGGCCTCATTGCGGTGTCGTAGTTTTCCCTTTATTTTTCAATCATAGCTGTAGCATGTCAGCAATAATGAATTTCTCATCAATATTGTATCACATGCTATTATTTATACCTATAGAGAATTCTTAAGGAAATTTTGTTGAGTAAAAATGTTATCAGGCCAACGGGAATTCGCGTAGTCTGTAGGTTTGCCACGGCGGGGCAATGTAAATGGCTATTTCAATTTCTTGCTCCCGCGATCACGGCAACATCGTGATCATTTCCCGCGATCGCGCTTTTCTTACAATACAATACGTCCTTAAAGTAAGTCAACTGGACGATCGGCCTTACTAGTAGCACAGACAATGGAGTAAACCATTAGACCATTAGACATTAGAGTACAGTATTATATTGTCTTTGCTAGTAGGCTCCTGGCGATTATATTTTCATATTCTGATCCTGACTTTGTCAAGTCCTGATGATTTTTACCTCAGTTAAGTACCTGATCTAGCTAGCTTACGACAAATTGTAATGATTTAAATCATAGGCGTTTTGGCTTGTTGAGACCCCAAAACGAAAAACGAAGCAGTTCCACGAAGACTACGGCAATATATTATACTAGTATTTTATGAACTAAAAACGACAAAACTTAGGGGAATGTATACAATCACAATTTAAATCATAAAAATTTACCCTATTTATTTAACCCTAAGAGAACAATATACTAAAAGAACTGATTGAACGGCTTTCTCCAGCTGTTCCTCTTCAAAATCTTTATATTTTCTTGATCATAGTTGCATAAGTAGCCCCGGTTTACGGTAAACATAATCTTTTATCCATAAGAAATACATTGGGATTTTGATGGCCTGTGGGGCAAAGCCCGAGGACGTTTATTACAGGATTTGGTGAAAGGAAGCATATACACAAACATTACTTCATTTTGACACATCGTTTGTAAAAATCCGTCCATTATTACTGGAGGAGTAGTGTTTCGTAGAAATCGCCTTCATGTATTATATATAAGGATTTCACTATAGGGAATTCGTTAAAAGAATCCAATAGCCAAAATCAAACTCCTGTTTCCACCACAAGATTTCCCAGCGTGAAGTGACCAGGTGTAAAAATAAACATTCAGTGTATAATTTCTCCACTGTAACTTCCATTCGCTCGGCCACCTTTGCTGGATATGATTGCATATGGTTGTCATGTCGTTTTCCTGGTTTCAACCTCATATGATGTAACTATCCTACGGAAGACCTGCAACCAACAGCCGGCACCAGACGTTCAAGACGCAAGACCGACTCTGGCGAAACGAAAGTCACTTTCCCTCGTACAGTCCGCTCTGTATAATCTCAGCTCGGACTGTACCCGTACCCCATTGGAGGACGAGTGACGTAAGGGCCCTTTCACACGAGGCCACTGGTGGCGGCCACCGGTGTCCGCCACCAGTTACC